CCTTCTTTCTAGCCTTTGAGGGCGCTTCGCGCCCATCTTCTAAATTAATTGTGAACATGTTCTCTTTGTGTACATTGTAAAACAAAACAAAAATAATTCGCGGATTTTCACAAAAATTTCGCGGATTTTCAAAATTTTCAAAAATTTAATGACGATCGAATTTTGATGGAGACAAATATTTGAAATTTTGATCATTCATAAAAATTCCCTGGGGTCCCTAGATGTCCCACAAAAAATTTGGGCCCGATCGGTTCAGCCGTTTTGACGTTTATTGGATACAAACAGACAGACAGACAGACAGACAGACAAGCCAAATTTATATATAGATATATGCATGCATGCATAAAATATTAAAAACTAATCTACATTCAAGCTAAAATTAAAATTTTTTACTATTATTTTGCTTTTTGTAGTAATAAATTACAATTACGAAACATGATTTCTTTCTTCAAAAAAATACATTAGCACTGTAGTTTTTTGGTTAACAATTAAGAATAAAGAACTTAGAGAAAAATAAAATATTTTTCGGAAATTTGGTTTAAGAACCTAAATTTAAAAAAATGTTTTTTGGGACCTTAATGTGAGAATTATGTTTATCCAGTATATCCTGTATCCAGATCAGTTCTCTATCCTTCTCCTGTAACCAACAATATTTTATTAAAATATAGGGGTATACATTTTGAAAAATAAACCCTCCACCCTCTCAAAAAAAAATACTTATGGTCCCCAGCTCACTAAATTCATCTTCTCAAAAATATTCATCACAATTGCCAGCTTTCATTATTAAGAAAAGCAAACTTGTTGAATTAAAAACTTTTTTTTCTTATCACCAGCTTTCCTAAATTAGCTGGATTTTCACAAATAGGAAAGATTTTAATTTAAATTGTAAACTTTTTTACTTTAATATTTGATTTTATAATTTATTTAATATTTTTGTATTTATGATTTTATTATTCTAATATTCATAGTAAAAATAATTTAAAAATCTAAATATTTTCCTGAACAATTTCGTCTGCTCTTGTCACCAACCCTGTTAGACTCTCGACCTCTGGAAAAAAAGTATTTTAAGCAGAATACATAAACTAGAATTGAAAACTCTTAATACCAGTTGTTTAAGCTGAATATCCAGTGTGGACAATTTTGATTTCGCCTTAATCCACTCTTTTCTCTTCTTATTGAATTTTCCTCCTGGATAAGAACGAATCAGAGTTCTCTCATGAAATGGCGCGTAAAATTTCAAGTTTCCCGGCTTCTCCATACACCACTCTGATTGGTGAAATTTTAGAAACTTTCCGGGAAACTGCAATAGATTAACAAAAAGAGAAGATATCCACATTTCTAAAGTTTTCATGGCTCAGGATACATAAAATAAACTTATAGTTTACATACATTCTTTGATGACAGTTATATTTCTGATAGTCTGAATAAATAGCTTCCTTTAATTTTCTTTTAAACATTGATGTTTTATGCTTGTAAAGTTGATTTTTGCCTGCATTAAACAATACTTGTAAAAATATAAAAGTCTAAAACCCCGCCATTATACTTTGCTGCTAGGAACTACGAGTTGTAAAATGTTAAACTCGTTCTTTTACATTAAAGAAATCTGATTTTTTAACTCTATCAAATTATCATTGCAACCTGACGACATAAATCTTTGACTGTTAGTGTATATTCTTTAGTTGAAGAGATTTTTAAGTAGTTTAGTTTTTTTCTCAGACTCAGATTTTCTAATTTTTATATCTTTGCAACCTGATGGTGTAAACCTTTGATATATCAAACTAATATTTTAATACCTAACAGAATTTTTTAGTTTGAAATATATAAGGTCTACCACATTGGGTTGCAAAGATATAGGAACTAGAAAATAACATTTTGTGGCAGACTCAATTCGTTTGCATTGTTATTTATATTAAAAGCCTAAAATATTCTCGGGGTCTGTATGAAATTACAGTCTGGAAAGGACCCCCCTCTACGAATATTTCAACTTTCTGAATTCGTCGTTTTAACAATTTTCTTCTTAAAGAGCCAACAGATAGAAGTAAGGTTTGTAGCAATCACCATCGAATATTTTTCGACGTAAGGGGGTACCCATTCATTTCTTGCAAACACTTCCTTTAAAGATTGCGATCCTGTCATCATAACTTCTAATGTCAAAAAAGCTTGAAGTTTTAAAGATGAAAGCGCATTCGGTAAAAACTCCCGTCCCCTGTCAGTCTTTTTATGGAATAAAGATGAATTATCCCATGCAGATCTGAAGAGTCTTGAATATGAAGACATATTTCTCAATTCCTGAATCTTGTCTCTCAATATAAAAGATGAAATATCCTAAGGTAATCCAAGATATCATTTTTCTTTAATAATGATGCAGTATACAGCATACATATACTGGTTCATTTCAGAAAGTGTATGGTTTAATTTTAAACATGATTGTATGAGATAACACAAATATATTATTAAAATGATTCCCTTTTTCGTGGTTTTATAAAACTAAAAATGTAGGCTCAAAGGGTGATCAACAAATGATTCTTTATGGTAAAACCCCTTAAAATCCCATTATATGATTAAACCTATTTAATTTAAGAGAATCCATATTTTACCATCTTATCTTCCACAGCTTCTTTTGGTAAATTATTTACTACCCTATTACCTCGTAGAAATTTTAGCTCTTAAAGGGACAGACCGTGTATGTAAAATAGTTTAACTAAGTGTTGTAGACAAATTCCTTAGCATTCTTTAGAGACATATAAAACGTTTCCACAATGTATAATTACTGAATTTGAGTGCAAAGTCGACGTTCAAAATCACGACGACGAAAAAATAAAGTAAATATTATACAGTAAACTAATTATGATAGTTAGGAACATATTTCTCAAAAGAAATTTTTCAATAAATCAATGTTAGAATCAATTATTTAGTTTTTATCATTATATTGAATTTCTTATTTTCTATGAATTTGTTCTCAGATTTCTAAAAATTCTTCAAATGTCGTCTTTTCAATAAAAATTCCAGTAAATCTGCAGAAAATATTTGTGAATAATCAGAGAATATAGAAACTAATAATTGAATAAGATTACTTATTTTTGATGATAAGATTGATTTTTATTTTCTCAACCTGTTCCTAACCAACGAATTAGTTTACTGTAGAATTTTGTTACCATTTTGTGTCGTCATTATTTAATAATTAAAAAAAAATATTCTGAAAATGTATCCCCCCAAAAGTACGATTTTGAACGTCGACTTTGCGCTCAGACTCAGGATTTACAGATCTCTCAAAAGTTTAATATTTCTTAAACGAATTCTAAAGAATTTATCCACAACACTGCATACTCAGTTCAACTACTTTACACAGCCGGTCTGTCCCTTTAAAAGTCACTTCAATTGCAACCAGTTTTTTCCATAATTAAAAAAGAAAAATTTTGCAGATTTGCCAGTTTTCGTTGTTAAATGATTACAAAACAAGTTGTAACGGAAATTTTTTGTGGGCTAAATATTCTTATTTCGACCGGCCATAAACCTTTTCTGAGATCACTCGAGTTTTCACAAAAGGTAGGCCCCGATTGGTTCAGCCGTGTTGGCGCTTATTGGATAAAAAAAATTCTAACCTTCTTCTAGCTCATGAATTCTGCGATGTGAGAGATCCAACTTTTTATTTAAAGATTCTGTAGTTTTCATAAGTTCTTCAATTTCATGATCTCGTCTGCACACAAATAAATTATGAACCCAGGAAACCGTATTTAATTAATTGTAAAAAGTCGTTGAACTACGCACGAGACGATTCAACTGAATGGTTCAACTTGAAGTTCTTAAATTTCAAACTATCTTAGTGTCTAAAAGCCGAGCTCTGTTTCAGCTAATTGATTAATGAACTCGATATTTGCATGTGCTCTGATTGGTTGATTGATTGATTGTGCTCTGATTGGCTGACATTTTTGGCGAATTTGTCTGCATCAGCAGAGTGCATATATAAGGGCCGGTTATTTAAAATCATAGATATATAATCTTGATTCAAGACTTGAGCTAATGAGTACTTAGCTGAACCGACCGTAGATAGTTCAGCGACCTCTCTACAATTCATTAAATTCCAAGTCCCAGGACAAAAGATGATAGTTATTATGAAAATAATTTTTACTGTTTTCTTAAAATATTTAATTGGTGCTCACTTGGACACATAAATTGGAAAAACTGGATTATCTTATCCTTGCAAGTTACGGAGAAAAAGATATAACAAAATAACAAAAGGTTTGTTGGATTACATTACAAGATTTGAAACATATCTATTAAAAAACAAAAAAAATCAGGTGTTTATTTAATATTTTATACTTACTTTGTTAAATTTTCTGCGCCACATCTTAACTTTTCTTTCAGTAACCAATTTTCCTCTTTACAGACCTCATTCAATCTTTTAAAATGAAAGAAATTTCACGATTATTTGTAGCTTTAAATCAATAAGTTTTGTAATATGTTTTTTTTTAAATATAAAGTTGAATTACAAATAAAGTAACTTAAAACATTTGGATAGTGTAATTTAGTAAACCTTTGATATTTACAACTTTGGTTGTTTACTATAATAACAGAATTTATATTTTGAAAAATCAAAGATCTAGGACATCAGATTGAAAAGATAAAGAGGTTACTGGTGTTTTTTTTTACTTTTTAGCCTCTTGTAGTTCACACTGTAGGTCCAAAACTTGTACATTATCTAATTCTTCCTGAACATAATATTTATCAATCATAAATTGTACATAAACCAACTATTTACATAATATTTGACAATCATAGCTTGTACATAACATTTCTCAAACAGAACTTGTATATACTCAAGCTTTTTGTACAAAACATTTATCAATTAGAACTTGATAATAGTGTTCCGCCGTATACCAAACTTAAAAAATCTGATTTAGTATTTTAGCCTCTTTCCGGTAATTTCTAGTTCTAACCTTAATTGATGAAGATTGTCGGACATGTTTTTTATTTCATTGTTTTTTCTTTTTATTCTTTTCTCCAGAATTTCAACCTGCTCCGTCAATCCAGTATCAGCCTAGACAAACTAGTATCAGTATCTATTCAAAATCTTACACAATACTAATCAGAAGAAGGTTACAAGGGTACTGTTGTGAATCGGGTATTACCATCTGTACATGGAGGGTCACTTTAAATTACGCTTACAGTCCCTTTAAGCCTCTATCCTCCCATTTTACCTTTTCCTCCGTTTCGTTTTGAAATTCGCATTCTTCTTCTATTTCATTAAATTGAACACGCCTTTTCTTTCGAGATTGTAGTTCTAATAGTGCACTGCTAACACTGCAAATACAAACTATTAATCATATCTAAAGGGAGTGTTCTTTTGTTCTAAAGAGAACATACATTTATAGCATTAATTAAGTGGAATATTTTAACGAATAATTGAAGACTTGAAAGTCAGCTTTGACCATTTAAATAGTTTGTGGCATTTATTTGGTGACCAAATTTTAGAGATTTTAAGATGACAAAATAATCACAAAATAAATCTAGACATGCTTTTTCTATAATGTGCTCTGCTTTTTTTTGGTTTAAAAATTACCAGAGACATTAAAAATTTTGTTAAGATTTCAATTTATTAACTAAAACCAAAGTTTTCGAATTCTCAAAGTTAAACCATTCATATCTCCAGTAATAATGAACGCGCCAAAAATGCACATCACATTTTGGAAATTTCACTAAGTGATTTCATGATTAATTTTTCATGCTTGAGAATCCTAACTAAAATATTGCTTAAAACATTTCTAGTTAACATTATGCATCTTTATGGAACTCATTTAATTAATTAATAAATAAAATATTGAAAAGTTACAGTTGATTATATATAATTTATATTTCAGTGACAACTGTACAGTGTGCACTAGGATATCAAATGTGAAATTGGGGGTTTTAATTTTTTTTTTTGGGGGGGGGCGGGGGGTTCAAAAGACAACATTTCTTTCGGCAAAATAAAACACTTAAATGACCTGAAATTTTTTTTAATGACGATCTCAAGGTTGAAAAAATTAACAAATGCATTTGAATCATTCATTCGTGAAAAAAGGTTTGATACAATTTGAACAAGTCGCCTCTCAAAAGTCTCGTCGTTTTGGGTAACCATATATTTAAGCTTCCACTAGATCATTAATACAGGCATAATTTGCATGGTTTTAAAGATTTTCCTTACTTTTCGTTCGGGGGTCGAATTTTTTCTGGTTCACCTAAATAAAGTAAAAGTTATTCAGTGGAATTAATGTTGTTTTTCTTTTTTGAAACCTTATTTAACACAGAGAAATAAAATGGCATTTACAAAATCAAAAAGTATTTTTATATTCATCATTTCATTTCATGAAACTTCATTTAAATATTTTTTTTTTAACAATTTCTTTTATAATTTATTTTTTAAAATATTTATAAAATAAAATGGTACGAGGCATAGTTAATAATTTCAAATGTTCGTCTTTTTTCGTCTGCATGTTTGCAGTTTCTCTTTTCCTTGTTTCTCTTTGCCCGTCCAATTTTAGCGCTGCTTTTGAAAGAATCTTTACAAGTCGCTGTCGGTGCGCAATTATAAGACAGTGCACGATCACCCTTTCATTGTATAGAATATAGATGTCCTCCTCTCCGTTTTTTGTTTTGCTTAATTGTAATTGCAGCCTTAGTTCTGTACAATCTGTCTACTTGCATTGGCTATGTCACAATTCATAGCACTTCAAGTTAGTTTCTATTTGCAGCGAGGGAGCAATAGCTTCCCTGCTATAAACCGCACATGTTTACTTTCCTATACATGGAGGGTTGCTATTCAATGAAAGATAATCCATTAAGTGACCCGCTCAGAGGTAATTTTGTTATAAGATTCAACAGAGAAATGTTCTCAAGTCTCATTTCAGGGGGGGGGGATGGTCAATTTGACTCACTTGTAGGTTTTTTTGGTGAAAAGTTTAAAATGTCTTCTTCCATAATACTTTATTATTTTATGGATATATTTTTTTCAAACATTTTTACTATTTTGCAAAAAATAAATTTTTGCAAATTCGCTATTTTTTTGCAGATTATAAAAGGCACCCTCCCTCCCAGCGTTTCCAGGTTTTCAAGTGCCCCAGCAGGGTTAATGTGTAATGTTAGTTTTTAACTTTATGTTTGACATTTTAATTGTTAATAGTTGATAATTTTGCAATTAACTCTTTTATATAAGCTGATTATTTGCCACAAACTTTATTTATCTAATCCCTATATCAATATAACCTTGTGGTATTCCGTGTAAACCTTAAACATATAAAAATTTGAATTCTTTGTAGATCAAATTCTCAAGGATTAAAATATCATAAGTCTACACTTTACAACATCCGGTTGAAAAGATATGAAAATTAGAAAATTGAATCAGAGATGGGAACTTTTGAATGGTGGATATCGGGATTAATGCTTGATCCAATCTTTTTCTTAATCTCGAGATTAAATAATGCTTGTTCTGCTCTTGGTATTAACCGATCGGGATTAAGGATATCCCATTCTTAAGTTTTCAGCTCTGGACACACTTTTTAGTTTCTTATTAATCCTTTTTTTTGGATATCCATACTGTATAAAATTTAATTTTGATAACAATTACAGATACGATGCTATATCGATTGGACTAATATCCGAGTGAGCTAAAGTCAGCTGTTCACAAGCGCGCTTTAAGAGCATTTAAACATATATAATCATGTTAAGATGAAATCATTAAAAAACATATTAATCACATTTGAGGATCATAGTAATTTTGAACGTCAGGCTTAATAAACATTAATCCAAAACTTACATTCGTTCAATCGATCTTTAGTTCAATTGATATGACATCATCAACACCAGAATTGCGCAAAAATAAAAACCGGTTTTTCAAAAGTTAAAGAGCGCATCTTAACATGACACGCTGATTGGTTTAATTCAAAACTCTTTCTTGGATATTGAATGTGTGTTAACCTAATCTCGGGTTTAGTAAAACCAGGAAATCAAGCATTGATCTCGATATTAACCCTTCTAAAGATTTCAGCTCAGATCATTTTCTAAAAATCATAACTTAGGAGTACGTGTGCAACTTCAGCCAACGATAAATTGAAGTTTAATCCTATGTGACATTTTAAACACTTCCACATAGAAGACGATTTTTAATTTGATTTTTGTAATCAAGATTTTAATGGAAAGATGTATGTATATATTGTATAATAGCTGAAGTACCCGGCGTTCCTCCTGGAATTTTGAAAGAATAGAATTTTGAAAAAATGGATCTAAAAAAATCGATTTTTGAAAATAAATTTAAATTATTTTTACCCTATGTTACCCTCAAGGTACTCATGGGTTACCTAAAAAAATCAGCCAATAATTGGTACAACCTTTTGGCCAGCTAATAGCTATAACCAAGGGTGTAATCCAAGGAAAGTTATTTGCGGTCGTGTATACTCTGCGTACATATTGAAACCAGTTCTCTTTGGGCAAATTTGTAAACAAGAATATATGCATCAGTGTTCGTTCGGTATCTGAGGAGGGTAAAAGCATTAAATTTTGATAATTTTGATAATTCACATATTCCTCTGACCAGCATATTTCATTAATTTGTTTATGTGAAAGATGGATCCCATGTCAGGCTTTGACATCCGTCTTGTGTTTACATTACCGCCCAGAGACAGTACACTGCAGTACAAAAGATGTGTACACTTCTGAAATAACTTTCCTTGCATTACATCTTAGGCTATAACAAATATATATATATTCAAATATATTTAAAGAATCAGATTCAAATTAAAACATTTTAATAGATTTCAGAATCTCATTACATGAATTTTCATGCCTTGCGGCAAGCTTCAGTACACTAATATACAAATATATATTTGAATTTTTTATACATTTTATTTTTTATGCCTTAATCCAAACAAAACTAAATTTTTGTTAAGTTTATCCAAACATTGATAATCCCGTTTTTTTACACACCCTGTATATATTGTTGTTTTGTTTACAATGTCTGATGGAAAAAATGTAACCTGATAATATCTTCAGAATACAACAATACAGATCCACTCCAGTCCCCTCCTTTACTGTATACAATACATTCTTTTATTTTTTATACACCATTGTCTTTCATTTCCATAAAACATCCCCCCTGTCCAGCTCCCCTCCCCCCATTGCAAAAAAGCAAAAACAAGACAAATTTTAAAAGTTTTAGACTTGATGAATGTGAGAAGGATAAGTGTAGTGTTTGTGTACATATTTCACTATAACGCAAAAGGACCACTAGGAATTTAGTTTATTCAAACCTGTCGGGCTTGTTTACTAACTATTGTTTTTAACCCCTTAAACCAGTTTCTGAGCGGTCCTATACATATTTAAGTTTTTAAATAAAATTTTGAAAAAGTTTCAAAATATTTTGCATAACAGTCTGTCCTGTGTTTTCAAACATCTCAATAATCAATTTGATTTTTCAATGACAATTTGATTCCTGATGTAAAATTGACCGTCCTTGTATACAAACATGCCATGATCCTTGGACAGAACCTACAAAAAAATAGAAAATAAAAATAAAAATTATAAAAGTTTGTTAAAATCAATAAAATAGTTGAAAAAAAGTCACCAAAGAGATGTTTTCAATTGCTTAATGTTCGTTGCTCAAAAAATGCCCAATCCACCAAACATATCCAAATATGCCATAGTTAGTCTCAGAACTATCCAAATATGCCATAGTTAGTCTCAGAACTTACCCAGAAATTATATTCTCAGCTGTGCTACCTAGCTTTTAACATATCCAAATATGCCATAGTTAGTCTCAGAACTTACCCAGAAATATATTCTCAGCTGTGCTACATAGCTTTTATAGTTAGTCTCAGAACTTACCCAGAAATTATATTCTCAGCTGTGCTACCTAGCTTTTAACATATCCAAATATGCCATAGTTAGTCTCAGAACTTACCCAGAAATATATTCTCAGCTGTGCTACATAGCTTTTAACATATCCAAATATAGTTAGTCTCAGAACTTACCCAGAAATTATATTCTCAGTTGTGCTACCTAGCTTTTAACAATTAACTTTGTTAAACATAGAACATAGAAGTTCAAGAATATTTTAATCTATATAGGGATAAATTGATCTTACTCTAGATTTCATATCCACAGCGATAAATTCTAGATTTCATATCCACAGCGATAAATTCTAGATTTCATATCCACAGAGATAAATTCTAAATTTCATATCCACAGAGATAAATTTTAGATTCCATATCCACAGAGATAAATTCTAAATTTCATATCCACAGAGATAAATTCTAGATTTCATATCCACAGAGATAAATTCTAAATTTCATATCCACAGAGATAAATTTTAGATTCCATATCCACAGAGATAAATTCTAAATTTCATATCCACAGAGATAATTCTAGATTTCATATCCACAGAGATAAATTCTAGATTTCATATCTTCAGAGATAAATTCTTGATTTGATTAAGCATACTATAGATTTTTTCTTAAAAGTTAGAAATTTATCTTACAATAAATTTGATCTACACAGATGAATTGATTCCTGGATTTTATTTTGAACAGAAACGAATTGATCTTAATCTAGATCTGAACAGTGATCCCCACCGAGATAAATTATTTTATCTTTACAGAGATGAATTGATCTAATCCTAGAATTGTTCTTTACAGAGATGAATTGATCTAATCCTAGAATTGTTCTTTACTGAGATAAATTGATCTAATCCTAGAATTGATCTTTACAGAGATGAATTGATCTAATCCTAGAATTGATCTTTACTGAGATAAATTGATCTAATCCTAGAATTGATCTTCACAGAGATGAATTGATCTAATCCTAGAGTTGATCTTCACAGAGATGAATTGATCTAATCCTAGAATTGATCTTCACAGAGATGAATTGATCTAATCCTAGAATTGATCTTCACAGAGATGAATTGATCTTACCCTGGATTTAAAGATAGCATTGTCTTTGTTTGGGAGGATTTCTTTAGTTCCTCTACCAATAGCAACCTAAAGAAAATGATTTTGAATTTAAGTTTAATTAACTGTTTATAACCTGCTGCCTTGACATTGCTAGAAACGTTTAACTAAATAATAACTCATTTTTTAAAGAACTATTGAGAAGAACAAAAACATCTAATATGTAACTAAATAATTTGGCTCTCTGAAATCAAAACTAGAGGAGCTACAAGGTCATAATGTCGTATCGGTAATGTCTAGTTCACAGTTTACAGTTTACAATTAAGGAACATTTCTTAACATCCTTTTTCGAAGGAGCAGGGGTAAAATGAAAGTCGTCTTGTTTCGATCATTTATTCATAGTCATACTTTAAAGTGACTGTAAAGGAAAAATGAAAGGAGCATTATGATGAAACCTGAGAATCTCAGGCGTTGGACGATACATACAAAACATCTTTCTGATATTCTTGTCTCGAGAAATTGATATAAAACTGTGTCAAAGAAGTAGAGTCGTTGTAGTCGTTGGCACAAATTCTGATTTTCTAATCCCTGTATATTTGCAACCCAATTGGCCAATTTCTTAGACGCTCTACCATAGGTAGAACCATAGTCACAATATGGTTACGCTTTACCAGAGCAGTGTAGATAGATAGATACGACCTATAGTTGTACCTATTGTTAAATGTTTAAGAAATTGGCCAAATGTCACAGACCTTATTTATTTCAAACAATTAAATCTGTTAAAATGAATAAACTAAGTTTGAAATATCAAAAGTTTACAAGCTCAGGTTGCTAAGATATAGGGACTAGAAAACTTGAGTTTGTGGATTAGACTCAATTCCTTTATACGAAAATTCATATAAATGCAATTTTGTATAAAAGTTGTAGTATTAAACAGATCATATTCAACAAATACGCAACTAGTCTGAAAACGATAATATCCCACCGAAGCCTGAGAATCTACGCACTATATGTAATAATATTATCAATTATATTTATTAAAAACGAAAAATAAAACAAGTTACAATAGGAGATTCTCAAGCTTCGGTGGGATATTGTTGTTTTCAGATTAGTTGCGTATTAGTTTTTCATTTTTCCTTTACAGTCCCTTTAAGATTTAGCAATATGAATTGTGAACATTAAGAAAAGGCTACAAAAAAAGAAATCTTGTGAGATTGTTTGGCTAAAAAACTTTTTTTACCTCAACATTTTCTGTCACTTTAATCCTCTTTACTCCAAACGCGGCTGAACCTGGACAAAAATTGCAATATCAAAAGATTATAAAAAATATTTTTTTGATATTTTTGAAGAATAAAATCCAACCTTCTTCTTCTGAAAGTAAAATTTGTCCAGATTCAACACTCATTTCATCTTTAATTTATTTATTTATGTACAGAAAATTATTCGACTCACTGTAAACTCCGGTTTAATTAAAGTTGTACACTGTACACTGTACAGCATAGATAGAGACAACACGGGACAGTACATCAAATGAATCCTCCCCTTCTGATGAGATTAATGTTTGCTCCTTGTTAAGTTTTTTTTAATGATTTTATCAAATAAAGATTTATTTTACATTCAGAATTTAGATATTCATATTTTTGAATAGTCAAAATTATTGAAAAAGTTGTGCAACAGAAAGATTCGAAAAGAAAAGTCACAACCTTCCCCCCTCCCCCTCCTCGGCACCCATGCCTTATGAATGAATAAAGTTCTGTGAACATGCACTGATGTATTTGACAAGTATGCATGAATGAGCAGCTAAGACTGTTCACCGGTCACTTGCTACCTGTTCACTGTACACTGTTACACTTTTACTTTCTACCTTTCTTATTGATATAGTCGTCGAAATAGCTATCTACAGGGTGTCCCACGAAACAAGACAGTTCAGAAACATCTTTAAGGATGTCTTTTAAAGTGTGTAAAATAACGTTGCATTATTTTGAATCTTTTTATGAGGTGTACGTATATATAATACAAATCTTGGTTTATCTTTTTGATGGACATTTTGGCATTATAATAGTATGAAAGATACCCATCTTTAAGTCGTCTCTCAATTGTCATTTTTAGTGGGACACCCTATATCATTGAGAATGAAATAGTAAAATAGTCAGGGTGAGTTAACAAGCATGGGACAATTATAAATGACGGTAAAAGACACTCCCAACAGATGATTTATTACAATATATGTTAATAAAGTAGACTTTTACTCATGTCGACTACATAGAGATATTACTCATATACATAGGGGATAAATTAAAAATAATTCTTGACTCACTGAAAACTTCGGTTCAATTGAAATGACCGTACCGACCCTGCAAGAGCAACTGTATACGTGTACAGAGTACTGTACAGACTATACACGGAAACACGGAAAATCAAATTAATCATCCCCAATTCTAGAAAGATTAATATGCACAAATTTTTGTTGAGTCACATTTCTGCATAATTTATATTTTGTTACAGATAAAACTTTTAAATTTGTCAAATAATTTATTATCTTTATCAGATAGAACCTGGAATTAGGCCTCTTAAAAAGAACTGTAACTGTTTAAAAAAGTGACACCCCCCCCCTCAATAATAGAGTTGCAGTTGAAGATTTCAAAAATGACAATTAAAATAATATTGCTTTATGTATCTAGCATTTTCATACAATATTTTTTTTCACTTCTTCATTTGAATTTAATAATGATTATTTTTTTTCTTCTCTTTTTTTTAGTTGACAGATTTAAATGATAAGCTTAATAAAGGGGTGTAAACAAGAGATTGTCTAAGGGAATCAACTTTTTTAACATTCCATTTGAATCCCCCTATTTATTTATTTATCTAAATTGTTAAACCGGTTTTTTTCCAAAATATCTGCTTATTTACCTGTCTATAATATTCTATACATAAGTCTTTCTAACTATTAATATTATAAGTTTATCTTAACGGTCTAATTGTTTACTAATGTTCTGCATTTTCATAAAGCTTCGATTAATTTTAGAATTTATGCATAATTCTCTTAAAATTTTAGCTTTCCTACAATTATATATAATTTGATTATTATTGCATCTAAATTATCAAAGACTAGGTTTCCAGGGCGCGTCGTTGCCATCTTTAATTTAACTGTTAATCGTTGCTTTTATCGTTGTTTTTTTTCGTGGATTATGGAAAATCGAAAATTTTAAATCCTGATCATCCATAAACCTTTCCTGGGGTCATGTGAGGTCCCACACAATATTTGGGCCGAAACAGTTTAGCCGTTTTGACGTTATTTGGTTACCAACAAACAGACAAGCACAGTATGTATATAAATGAACGACACCGACATGAAAGACTTGTCGTTTTCGGTGCTAATTTCAAATTTTTGTCGAGAATGATTGTGGTTACAGTAATAGCGTCACAAATGTGGTCTGAAATACTAACATAGTTTTTTATGCCAAATGACTAACTCCCGGAATCTTAAAAGTTCGAAAACTCAAATCCAAATTTTTTCCATTGAAAATAAACATGGACATTAAAGCATAAAAAATGTAATTATTGAAATTTCTTTTTTTATTTGGATACGCTCAGAGGCTGACAATACACATGCAGTATATTCTACCGATACATTTAGTGGTTTACTATATCAATAAACATCCGTTTTTTCTGTGCACGTGGTTTAGTTCTTATCATTTGTTATAAATAAAAGTTCAGTATTTTTTTTTTTGATCCGGTCTCGACTGTTTTTCGATATATAATTATGTTTTTATTTACTTCGAAGGGTATTGAGATTTGTTATAATGTCTTTCAGAAATTTCCAGGTTTCATTCTTTAATATTATTCAAGGCATCAAACAAAGACAATGTTAAAAGAAATGTATATTATTTTATAAGTAATTAAAGCTATAAATTTAATCTAGAATTTAAAAATGACCCAATATGTTTTCCATTAACAACAACAACAACAATACCCTCCTGAACAACAACAACAATACCCTCCTGAACAACAACAACAATACCCTCCTGGACAACAACAACAATACCCTCCTGAACAACAACAACAATACCCTCCTGAACAACAACAACAATACCTTCCTGGACAACATCAACAATACTCTCCTGAACAACAACAACAATTCATCCATAACAACTCCCTATACAGGTAAACATTAGACATCCTCATTTTTCTGGTTGAAAAATAGCGTTTTCAGCACTAAAATCGTGCTTTACTTTGTGAGGAATTCTGTATTTTTGCGCGAAAATGAATTTTTTGGAAGCAAACGCAAATGATGCGTAATTCAGCGCAAAAAAGTGCACGCAAAAAATTCCGGATTGGGTTAGAGGATTGGGAAAACAAGATTTTTTGATAAGATAAAATATAAAAAAATAGGAAATAAAAAAAACTGCTCTTTTATAATTTAAAAATCATTACAGCATTGAGAAATCAAAATAATAATATCATTTGTTTTTACAATTTAGATTTAACTAGAAATGCGGGAAACTGTTGGTTAAAAATGCTTGAAAAAAAATTATCAATTTTCTCTAATTTAACAGATAAAATGTGAAAAATTAGATTTAAAATTAATTCAGAAGTTAATTTAGTCTTCATAAGAAAATTTTTGTGATTTACTGTGTAAGTTATGAAAATGAGTTAATTGTTTTGAAATGCGGATTATACTCATAAACGGGAAAGTGTGTTTTGTCTCGAAAACGCGACAATGTTTAACATTCAGGATATGTTCGAAAATGGAAAACCTGACATTGTCTTAAAAATGGTCAAGAGATTTAAAATAAAAAGAACTCCTATTGTAATTTTGAGTTTAAAAAATGTTTTAAAAGGGTGAACTATTGTCCTCGTCATGTTAAATAAAATGTTAGTTGAAGTTTTTATTATTGACTTTTACTCTGGATATGGGCCGAGATCCAAAAAACCCAGCCTTTCAATTTGTGCCCATTTCTAACACTCAGTGTTAGAAATGGGCCAAGTTTTAGTTTTGGAACTAATTTCCCCTGTATTTAATGATGTTATACATATAATACATAAATCAATTTATATATTTCTGTAAGGGTTCAAGTCCTAACTCTACCGAGCCTGTAGGCGTAGCTGTACATGAAAATATAGTCGGGCCTCTTGTACATGAACAGGACATTCAACATCTAGATATTGTTTCTCCAGACTTTGCTGAAAATGAAAGATTGGTAAAATTATTTTAGTTTAGTTTAGTTTAGTTTAGTTTAGTTTAATTTAGTTTAGTNGATCTCGGACTAAAAGACCTTCTTAAGATATTTATAATTTAAAGGTTGAATTTGCCACTCCAGACGTAAACAATTCTTGAAATTTCCAACCTTTAATATTTACGAATTATATGCATTCACAATCAAATGTTTAAAAGTTATTTTTAGACTATAACTTTGATTTCGTTTTTAAAATAAGCGGTAAGATATCCGTCTTCGCGCCATGTTTTGATTAAACTGGAAAATCCAAACTGCCACTGGGAATTTTACGCACGCGCTTTGTTGATATCAATCAGAATTCTGTTTGAATTAACAAATCGTCTTTATTGATGCAAGTAGAATTCTGCTTAATCTATTTTCGGGGGAAAAAAATTTGATGTGATTCTAATTTTACTTATATCAATTAGTATACAGACGAATTCAAGTGAAATCATTCTGACCAGAAAACATCAAATTTTAAACGATATATCAATGAATGTCTTCTATATACTGGTTATATTGGCCTGAAATATAATCATATTGAAAATTTGCAAAATGGCATTTCTAACAGTGTGATAAAGAGATATATCCATATTTTTTCTTTGATTTTTAGCCAAGGTCTCTCTGTAATTAATCTTTAAAATCAACAGAGGAAAGCAATTGATAACACGTTACATTACATTACATCCTATGATAAAAACATATATATATATCTACTTACGAGAAAAAGGTTTAAAAGGTTATGTTGTGAATCGGGTAACCAACTTTTAATAGAGATCATCTGGAATTTTAAGAAATTGGGTTCAAACGTTTCACAATATATATTCGTTTACCAGTTATTACGTTGCTGATGTCGATTTTGATGTCATAGTTGCTTGTTGAAAAATGTACATATTTAATAACTGAATTATCGATCTTTATTTAAGGATTTCCGTTTATTTTTTTAATTCTATCAGAATTAAGATGGAAGGAAACCCTCGGCCTAGAAGCAACACAAGCTCTGCTTGGAACTATTTTATTACCAGGGACTGAGCGTAAATTTCGCAAGCTTTTTTTCGTATTTTCATCATATTTTACATTCTAATATTGTGTTTTTTTTTATTTAAAATTACACAAATTAAAAGTATAATCGATTGTTTTATTTTTCGAATTTTCGAAATTTACGGTATCGGAGCCGGGTGGTTGGTTGCAGAACAACGGAATGGAAATCAATAATTCGATAATTCGAGACCCGGGCAGCTAGATATATATCCCCCACCCTACCCCCTCGATATACAGCAGCCAGTGTGTTTACATCAGTGCAACATCCCACACCTTGTGTCTATCGATATGATAGAAATCGATATTATCGATTGTGAAAAATTTTAGATAAAGTTAAAGCTGTAACGATTATTAAAGCACTCGACTTTCAAGACTTTCAAACTAAATTTAAATTGTAATTCAATTAGTGAAAACAATGAAATCGTTGAAGATTAACATTAAAGGGACCGTTCACTTATCTGGGTTATAAGGAATTGGAAGACTCTATAGGCATGGCCAATTCATAACAGTGCCCTTGCCTCTAATCCTTTGTCTGATAAAGAGATATATCCATATTTTTTCTTTGATTTTTAGCCAAGGTCTCTCTGTAATTAATCTTTAAAATCAACAGAGGAAAGCAATTGATAACACGTTACATTACATTACATCCTATGATAAAAACATATATATATATCTACTTACGAGAAAAAGGTTTAAAAGGTTATGTTGTGAATCGGGTAACCAACTTTTAATAGAGATCATCTGGAATTTTAAGAAATTGGGTTCAAACGTTTCACAATATNATTTGAAGTGCCAGCCCCTCCCCCTTTTAAAAATAGCTATGAAATGTCAAGCCCTGTGAGCCTAAAAAACGATGACTACAAAAAGGGGAACTATGCGCTACCGAAAATTGTGTTTAAATTTTTAGTTCTGAACAAATCTATAGAGCACTTTGATTCTTGACTCTTGGACACTTTTAAATTCCTAGCTTATAGTTTTGGAGTAAATAAAAGAAAGTTGAAATTTTATCTTTACTATTAGACAAAACTTTCAAAAATGTAAAATTTGTAACTGATAACTTTTAAATAGACGGAACTGAAATCAATGAGACAGATATATCGGTTAAACCTTTTCAAATTGGCCTTAATCTGTAAAAAAAAATTATTCTTTATTTCAGATACGGTCAGGGGTCTGCCCGCTGTTCACATTGTGGTGTAGGTTGGTTTAAATACATTTTATTTTATTAATAAAAAGGATATATAAATACATTGGGTGGCGGAACATTTCAGAAATGGACATTTAAAGATAGCCATTTCATAGATCGGACATTGAAAATATTAAATATTTTAAGGCGGGAAATTTCAATGATGACCTAAATGTAGTCTTAAATTGTCTTAACAATTCCATTGATCAGTTGCTTTGGCTGGAAACTCAATTTAACCTGTAAAATCAACCTGATAAACTTTTACTCCAAACCAAAGCAATTCCGTACCGAATTCCTTAATACAAAATTTGAGGTAGATTTAAAATTCGGGTTGAGGTTTATGAGTTCTGGTCGAACATACACACAAATAGGCAAACTATAATATACATGGTGACTATACAATGTTAACTCTAACAAAGCAGTTTTTGCTTTTGGCATTACGTTTTATGATATTTTTTCTTGAATATATATATAAATTCAGAGGTAGCTGTACCCAGTGGATCCACTACTGGCATGTTTTCTCATCTTCAGGTTTATTTTTTTTTTGTATGTAATTTGGTTTATTTGTAAATTTAAAGATAAAACTTTTGACTGTTAGCGTTTTTTTTAAGGCTTATATACAGGATACCCATGATAAATCAAAGATACTGGTAAAGACGTATTAGTCTGGAGTTTTTTCAAATATTGGACTTTTCTTATTTTCTAAAAATAATTTGTAAAATTTCAGAAACACCATCCAACTTTGTACAAGGAGTCAAAACTTCGACAGATGGATAAAATGGAATTAGGATCAAGGTACACTGTACACATTATTATTTCACCCTTTCACGCATTTAAGGGACTCAGGGTGTAATTTTGATTGACACCAATTAGAATACCATCAAAATTCATCGATAAGCTTTCATCATTTGAATTTAATTCATCAAATGTCGGTACAAAAAAAAGCAGTTTAACACCATCTTTTCTCAGAAACGGGGTTGAGCTGCCGCGCTCATAGCAATATTGAAACTTCTTTTAAAATAACAATGACAATTTTGATAACAATAGTTTACAAAGAGATAGGTACATAAGATTTGTTCTAATTAAATTTTTTTTCAGATATTTTTCTCCGCCCTTTTCCCAGAAACCTGGCCCTCTGAGCACACCTGAAAGGTACTGTTGGGCCCCTGAGCTCCCTGAGTTCCCTGGCCCCCTGGAAGAGCCTGAGTTAGGTCTTGAAACTGATCTTGTTCTCATCAAAGCTACAGATGCATTTCACCTTTCGAAGGTGATAATTGACCTAAGGGTAGAGAGGGCTTTACACGAAGTTGAAATCATGTTTTAAAATTGCATTCTTTATTGCTTTTATTAAATACATTGTGTCTTATAATTTTATTCTGACCAACAAATGTTCCCAAACAAATCATCAAAAGTAACGATTTAACAAATTGTTTTTTGTACCTTAAATTTTCACATATATTGTACTATTCTTGATAAATTGATATTGTTTATTGTAGACTATTTACCCTGGGCTAGTTGAGAGGTTCGGACGATTCCCGAATTACAAGATACAACCTGAAATCGTCCCGGACTATGATTTAATCATACATTGCTCAGATGGACGAGTTCCAGCAAATAAGGTTTTATTTTTGGTTCTGAAAATTGAAACTATTAATCTTTATTTATTTATTTATTTATGTATATATATGTATATTACAGGTATATGTATACAGGTATATGTATACAGGTATATGTATACAGGTATATGTATACAGGTATATGTATATTATAGGTATATGTTTACAAACTGAACCTATCAAAGCTTGGAACGTTTGTGTTGAAAACCCTTTTCCCTGATCGTCTTATCTCGATATCCGCTTTGAAAACTTTTGATTTCTGCTTAATCCTCTTTTTTTGGATATCCGTGCGTGAAAGTTAGTAAAAAAATTTCTCAGCTTCTGATTTGCTTTATTGTTTCTGCTAACGGTACTCTGGTTGAAACTTAGACTATTCCTGGATTACTAATAAGAATATAATTATTCTGCAGATTAACAAAAGAGAGAAGAAATTCACCCATGGTATAATTAGTACCCGGTCAGGGGTTGCATGGAGCTTTGATCAGGGTAGGAACAACTGATATGAAGAGATCAAGCACTGATCCTCAAATTAAAAGTGCCTACCGTGGATATCGAGATCAAGCGATTGGGATTATTAGTATCCAAAACAAGTTTCCAGCTTAGCTCAAACTTTAAAAAACTATATTTTTATTGACAAAAATCTAATATCCAGCTTTTACTATTTTCTACTTTTTTCTTCGTATCTTTTATCTATTCTCATATTTCTAAATTTCTTTCTTTATTTTTTTTAATTACATTTATATTTTTAGTTACTTCTGGGAGGAGCAAGTCTGTTTGTTAGATCTTTGTTAACTTGGAGAGATCTGGATCATATTTACTTTCCAGATTTCAAGGTACAATACCAGTACAACACAGTTTAACATAGTACCATACAGTAAAATACAACAGTATAATACAGTACAATACAGTACATAAAGTACAATACAGTACAATAAAGTACAATACAATACAAGAGTAGAACAAAACAGTAACAGAGTAAAGAGTGCAATCAATTATAGTAGTACAAAGTACAGTACAATAACAAGGGTTCGAAGTTCAAAGCAATGATAAACAAGTATACAAAGAACAGTAAATAACAGAAAGTACAGCCGGTATATGTACTGTAATAAATAATATAAATATAATCTTAGTCATAATTGATCATTTATTGAAGAAGAGTCTATATAAAAAGATAAAAATGCATTTTACACACGTTAAATACATTTCGTTTATTAGGTTGCAGTTGTACATAGCTTGTTGGAGTATTTGTACACTGGTACAACAAAATTAACCCAAGATGCAGTTCAGATGGCGGAGTTATTAGGTAGGGTATAGTAAAAATAATATGTAAATCTGAGTCATTGGACAAGACAGGCGTAAAGAGCGAAAAATAAATGTTGTACTTTTAATGAAATATTGCAAACGGTATGAATAAAAATATAACATACAAGAAATATTTCAGACAAAACCGCAAAAAAACACTTCACATGTTTATTATTTTATGTGTTTTTTTTCTGTTTTTTTTTTAACAATAAATGTTTATTGTATATTCACTTTAAAAAATCATATTTGACCGTCTTAAAATTTAGGACAATATCATTATTTTTTCTAACTACTAATTTTGTATAATACAGTGAGAACCAGAAAACTGTGGAATAGGAACACGACGTAAAATTGGTCTAAGCATGAAATAGGTGTATGTGTTGATCATGTTTATTGAACTATTTAAAATTATAACTCGAGTTTAAAAGTCATCTTTCTATTCCACAGTTGTCTGGTTCTTACTGTACACAGATCAACATCATAATTATTTGTAGATTTACATTTCCTGAAATACAAAGGTCTCACACGGTGTTCTCTATTGGAATTAATTCTCTTTTATTTAGGCATAAAATTGGAAACTGTAAATGAAACTGCAGAAAAGGAAGAGGATTTTATAGAACCATACGAGCTTCAAATAAAAACAGAATGCGAGGGAAAATAACTCAATGAACAATTTAACAAAAATACCTAAAGTCTACTATATAGTTTATGGCTAAGTTAATATTTTCAAAAACTTTAAATTTTTGTCAATTTTAAACATTAAATGCATAAATCATCAGCTCAAAAAAAATACTAAGATCTTTTATGAAGTCTCAAGTTAGCCCATTTTTTTTCTAACGAGTTCAATGTTGTTTTAAATCCGAAGGATGATGATGATGATGAGGATGATAATGTGGAGGAGGAGGAGGATTCTCTGGAGCTGGTTGGTCTCCCTGAAATAGAAGAACCTACTCAAACCCAGGAACAGAATAGTGAACAATTAAATTCATTTAAAGGGACCAGAGACGAAATTTCAAGGGATATTCCAGTTGTAGAATAGCATGTCCGATTAACAACTGTATCCCTTGAAACCTTTCTCGGGTGGAGGATAAATGAGATTTCCATATTTTTCTAGATAAAAAATTGATTTTTTTCATTCATTCTTTTCAGATTAATGTTGCTGAAAAAATGAAAATTAATAGAATTCAAACCTTTTTAGACATACAAGCGGCGATATCTTCCTCATTGTTACTACTTACAGTGGTCGGCGATTGTGTCAATACAATGAAGACGACTTTCGATTTCCATTTTGATTTTGTTTACTTGTAAACTTGTAATTCGAAAAAAGCTTGTTAACAATCAAAACTTAAACATAAAAGTCGTCTTCATTGTATTGATATAATTGCCTACCGTAGCGCTGTGAATCGGACACTTCACTCTACAAATGGAATTTATACGTCTTCATTTCCTTCAGGACATTTATTGTCTTGTAACACACTTTAGGATAACTAGCTGCGTGCAGTTAACAGGTCTCTGGACGAAACACTTTAAAATGTCGTCTTTGTATTCAAAGTTTTGTGTTTGTTTAACTCTGTGTGTTCTGAGGGTGCCGAGCGATACTTTGACGTTAACTCTCTTCTTAAAAAACGGAAATACGACGAGAAAGAAAAAGAATTAGGTTGGTTTATTTTGCTTATTATTTTTAACAATTTTAGATAATTTTTACAATCAAGGTTCCTTATAGATATTTTATTTTTTTTATTACAACCAATTCTTCGAGCGTAAATCAAAAATCGATTTCCCGGATTTTTCAAATCCGATTGATCACTTCTCGATTTTCGATCTCGACAAGATTCACAAAAATATTGTATTTTCGTGCCCAGGTGGGTTTGATAAAAAAAATTAGTTGAAAAAGTGAGCTGTGGCCTGTGAATTGTATACCAACTGATTTAAAAAAGAGAATTTTAAAAAGATTGTAGTCTGGGCAAGGTTCGTAGGTTTATTTTCTTCTCTTTTTAATGCTTATTTTATTTTCAGATTTTTCTAGCTCCAAAAGTAATGATCACTGATCCAAAAATGAAATCTTAGACTAAATCTTATGATTTGAATCAGAAAACTTTGAATTAGGAAGACGACTTTTGAAATCAATTTGTAACTTCAATAAGCATGAGACCCAGTAATTGTGCAAAAATAGGGATTTTATACGTGTGTAGGAAAACTAATTGCTATTATGTCGTCTTCCTATTCCGTTTTTCCGGTATCACCGTACTTACGTTGTTCATAAAAAAATCGTTCAGAGAGAAAGGCCCTGGAACTAAAAGAGAAGATATTTGCCGAGTGTTCTCGTCTGAGTGCGGTTAGAACAGGTCGCAAACCTTCCAGGTAAAGAGTTTACAATTTACAGTTTACTGTTTAACATACAGTTTACAAATTACCATACAGTTTACAGTTTACCATACAGTTTACAGTTTACCATACAGTTTACAGTTTAACAAACAATTTACAGTTTAACAAACAAATTGCAGTTTAACAAACAGTTTACGGTTTACCGTACAGTTTACAGTTTAACATACAGTTTACAGTTTAACAAACAGTTTACAGTTTAACAAACAGTTTACAGTTTACCGTACAGTTTACAGTTTACCATACAGTTTACAGTTTACCATACAGTTTACAGTTTAATAAACAGTTTACAGTTTACAGTTTACCATACATTTTACAGCCTACATGTTACCGTACAGTTCACAATTTATCATACATTTTACAGTTTTGCGTGCAATTTATAAAGGCAACTTTGATGTTTTAGATTACCGTCAAAAATCTGGAATTGGTTTATCAAAACACCGACTACGTTAACATGTAGGGTAAGAAAGCTTATCAAAATGCATCCTTTTTTTGAAGCATTACATGTTACGTACAGTTGGACACCAATTTATGATTTCTTCAACGAATAGTACATTAATTTTCAAAAATAATTGGATAATTAAAGAAGATTTTTCCATTTTCATCAGCTCAATCATGATCATTTATAGCATATTTATATGGATAAAAACGCAAAACTGCCAGAAACTGAACACAGCGACCTAATCAGGGATTTTTTCAGTAAAATATTTTGGGAAAGAAAAGAGTGAATCAATAATAGATAAAAGATAAATTATTATAAATACTGCCCTCTAACCAGCCCCCACTCACTGTTCACTTCACTTATTGTTAATAAGTCAGAGGTTAAATAAACTTTGTAACTAGCTCTAAATAGTTCATCTACGTTCCAATCTGTATTATAAATAAAAGTTTAAACATAGATTAAAAATATCTAGGTATGTGGAGGAGAGCTGAGAAACTGTGGTAATACAACAAATGCTGCGTGTCATCTTAGGTCAGTAACTCTTTAAATTCAGCATTTATTCATTATTTTTTAAGCAATAATTACTTTAATCACATCAATTACCAATTAATTGAGTAATACTTCATTAATTACATCCATAATTCTTTTAATTACTGCAACTATCTATTCATTTTAGCAATAATCCATTAATTGCAGCTATAATCCATCAAACCCAAACTAATTGAAATAAATTATTCATTATAGCCATTAATCATTAATTGCAGCAATGATCTTATTATTTACATCAATAACCTTATTAATTACAGCAATTATCCATTTATTAAAGCAATATCATTATAACAATAATTAATTAATTACAGCAAAACCAAACGAATTTGAATTATTTATCAATTATAGCCATTATGTATTAGTTGTAGCAATAAATCTTTAAATTACATCAATCATCCATTAATTATATCTTAATTACAGCAAACCCATACTAATTTGCAACCATAAACTTGTTAATTACAGCAATCATATTATTAATTTCATCAATGATTTTTTTAATTTCAGCAATTATCTTATTAATTACAGCAATAATCTTACTAAATACAGCAATAATCTTATTAATTACAGCAATAATCTTATTAATTACAACAATAATCTTATTAATTACAGCAATAATCTTATTAATTACAACAATAATCTTATTAATTGCAGCAATTATCTTATTAATTACAGCAGTAATTTTATTAATTACAATAATCTTATTAATTACAACAATAATCTTATTAATTACAGCAATAATCTTATTATTTACAACAGGATAATCTCTTCTTTTAGGAAACATCCGAAAGAATTTCAAGAGTTCCGACGAGAATGCGAAACGGCTGAAATGGAACGATTTATTCCGCTGCAGGTGGGCCAAGGGAAATTGTAAACATAGCCAAAATCTGAATTATTTGGATTTTTAAATTTAATAAACCAGTTTTTTATACATTATCAGACATTAAAACATTGAATTTCATGTATTTATCTTTGCAAAATTGTATATATCGTTCTTCTGATATTTTGCAATGTTTGCCAAACCCAAGAAAATTATTTTAATTATATGCAATTTATTAGAAAATTTAAATTTAACGAAAAAAATATGTTCAGAGTGCGATGGAGAAAGAGCGATTTAACTGTTTAGTTTCTGGATCTAGCACAAGTCCTCGGAAATCCTCGAATAGTCCATCAAAAACCTACAATAGTCCTCCAACTTCCCTTAATACTAGTCCCCCAAACCAACTATTAAACGAAAGATCGAGTAAAAAAGTGAAATTGGAACCTCTGATAAATGTTCAAATAAAGGTTGAAGCATCACCTTAATTCTTAAAACATATGTGCTGTTACAATATTTAATTTAAAATTAAATCTTATTAAGTGATAAATATACATAGATTGAAATTATCATTATGATTTTTATAGAACAACAAACTAAAAACAAAAGTAATCAAAATGTCAATTGATCTAGTTTGATTAATAGTAATCTGTATTTTTTTTGTCCTGCACTCTAAGATTCCAATCATAAAAAATAGCTTGTTTGGTAGCAATCCATTGTTTTGCTGCTAAATAAGCAATTTTTATAAATATAAGTGATTTTGTATTTCTTATTTGGCAGCTATACAAATTTTTTGATATCGTTATTTAGAATTTAGTCTTTGTTAAGGAGGTAAAAGTTATTATGCAAACAAACATTATANGATGTATCATTTGTCATATTTTGACATAAAACATGGGATTTAGAGGGGGGGGGGTCAAATTGACCCCCCCCCAGCATATCCTGGTTTTCAAGTACCCCAGCAGTGATAGGGTTAAAGAGAAAGTATTGAATTATTTTAATACAGACAAAATGCCCAATTCACAACTAAGACTATTTTACAACTCAAATGTGTTCCGATCAGCCAAAAACCTCCCTACATTTAATAAAAAATGAAACTTTTCAATTTTGAGCTTGTTTCTTCTCGAGTGTCCGCGAAAAAATGAAAGGGGATTTGGAATTGACTCGATTGATCACTACTAATTTTGCTTTTCACTGTTTCCTATATATTAAATATTTATTAGAAATATTATGAAATTTCAATTTTATACGGGTGCATTCAATTGCTTTCAACACTTGTTAGGCTGTACTGTCTGAACTTAATTAAATTATTTAAGGTGTGAGTTGAATAATACAAATCCGTAGATTTGTATGGGTCCTAAGCTCTTGGGTATTAAACGTTTTAACGATTTTATCTATAAATAGGTAATCAATATCGATATCAGCCTAAACCCCTTTTCATTTTTCACGAACGCTCCTTTCAAGAAACGCGTTTCTGATCCAAAATTGGGAGTATTTATTATTTTAAAATATACAAACATTCCTTTTAAATATGTCATTTAATCAAGAGCAATCTTCAAAACAAGAACTATTAGGGGTCAACTGCCTGAGGGCAAATTTCAAGTTTTACCAATGTTAGAGCAGGGGAGTTCCAGAATTACGAAAACTTTGAAAAAAAGTCAGAAATTAAAACAATAAATTAATCAATTATAGTACAGGGTGTCCCAATAAACATGGGAATTCAGTGACGAATTCGATATCGTCTTTTTAAATAATTCTTTGATTTAGTATAGTGATACCTACTGAGAAAGCTGTGATCTGTAAGAGTTTCGTCTGCTATGTTCACATTTTGTTTGTTTATGTTTTGACTGCATAAGGGTGTACTTAGTAAAACAATAAAAATTGCAGTATACAAACAGAGTAAACTTGTCCGTCTTCACTGTTCATGTTGCGGAGACATTATAGACACATCTTTACAGTCTTTTACCCTTTTCATAAAATAAACTCTAGCAGACATAATACTATTATGGCTTTTGAAATTAGGTATTACAATGCTAATTCATAACAACGACGATATCCAATTCGTCACTGAATTCCCATGTTTTTTGGGACACCCTGTAGAACTAGTAAGTGTACAAAAATGGAAATAAAGAGGAATAAAACTTAAAGGAGTAGAACTAAGGAGAGTAGAAATAAGGTGAGTAGAAATAAAGGGAGTAGTACTAAGGGTAGTAGAACTCAGAAGAGTAGAACCAAGGAGAGTAGAATTAAGGGGAGTAGAACTGAGGAGAGTAGCACTAAGGAGAGTAGAATTAGGGAGAGTAGAGCTGAGGAGAGTAGAACTAAGGGGAGTAGAACCAAAGGGTGTAGAACTGAGGAGAGTAAAACTAAGGGGAGTAGAACTAAGGGTAATACAACTAAGGAGAATATAACTAAGGGGAGTAGAACTAAGGAGAGTAGAACTAAGGAGAGTAGAACTAAGGAGAGTAAAACTAAGGGGAGTAGAACTAAGGAGAGTAGAACTAAAGAGGGTAAAACTAAGGGGAGTAGAACTAAGGAGAGTAGAACTAAAGAGGGTAAAACTAAGGGGAGTAGAACTAAGGTGTGTAGATCTAAGGATATTAGAACTTAGGGGAGTAGAAGTAAAGGAAGTGAAATACCTTTTTACTTTATACAGCATTTAATCAGCTATCAGGACATTTTTCAGTAATCTCTCAACAAATTAATTCGTAAATTGTCTTTCAGATATGTAAACACTCCCTTTAAATTAATTCGTAAATTGTCTTTCAGATATGTAAACACTCCCTTTAAAAAATATCGCTTGTTCTAATTTTTTGTTAAGAATTATTGTTATTTAATCCCAAAAAGCTTTGCCTTCTGAAAACAAACCGGAAATATTTCTGATTGAATTTAATGGTCAATGAGACTGGTTTATCGTATAATCAAGATTCCAGATATAGGCAGTTTTAGCGGGAGCTGTGTTAACTCAAACTTGACATAATAGCATGGAAATTACATGGTTACAAGAAATGAGACATCAAAGACGCATTTACGGAATTTTTTACTGCACTGTTTTCTTATATTCATGATTCCCTGCAAGGCAACATTAAACTTCTTTCTTTGTTTGCTAAATTATTATATAAGCCATTTGAAGACAGAAGGCAGAAGACTCAATTTAAACTTTGGACTGTTATATTTGAAAAGGTTCAAGTCGTTTTTACAGAGTCATCCTCAACAACATCAACATTTTTACAGAGTCATCCTCAACAACATCAACATTTTTACAGAGTCATCCTCAACAAAATCAACATTTTTACAGAGTCATCCTCAACAAAATCAACATTTTTCAATCACAATTTTATCTTTTATTCAAAATCCGTCGTAAATTGATTTTGTATAAGCTTAATCCAGAACTTAGGAGTCTTTGAAAGAATTTATAAAATGTCGTCTTGACAATTGTTCAATGGGTTTTATGGTGTTGTACCCAAATCTCTGTAATTGTTAAACATTTGAATAGCCATAGAATAAGCATGAACAGTTTTTAAGAGCTCCATATAATTATTCAATTCCATTTCCATTAGCACTCCATTATCAGCAGGTTTAGAAAACGACATTTTATAATTTCTTTCGTTGTGTCCAAAGTTCTGGATACACGTAATATTTGGAACATATGGTCCAATAAAAATGTATAAAATAGCAAATAGATTATATATCACCGAGCTTTATAGTACATGTACAACGAAACACGACAGTTGGTGAATAGTATGACAGTTGGTGAACAGTTTTGAATGTCTTCTTCCAAATTCTGCATATACCATAAAATGACTACCATATAATATTTTTTGTTATTCTCTTTGGTATCTAACCACTTAACAAAATATTGAAGAAGACATTTTAAACTATTCACCAACTTTCATGTTCCATCGGACAGTATATAGAGTGAGGATTTATGCTAATCATTTACTAATTGTACAGGCCGTGCACTCAAATTTCAAAGGTCAAAGGTCAGTTCAAAGTGCTTGGTAATATAAAGACTAAAAATTAGGCATTGAGATTTGTACACAAAACCAGACGCCTCAATTGGTTAAATTAAGACTTAAATTTAAAAGACTTTTAAGGACTATTTAAGCATATCTCTCACCTTTAAGGACTGAATTTAAATCCAATACTGCAGCAAATGATGACATCATCTACGGAGTGTAAACACTAATCGGATAAATTCCTAATTCAATATCTTCAGAGGCGTATTCAGGGGGGGGCTATTGGGGATAAGCCCCCCCCCCCTGGACCAGTGAAATCTATTGATTTCAGGGGGTTTTAAGGCCCCAACGAGTGCTGAATTCCTGAATACGCCCCTGATTATCTTTTACTATTAGGACTATCTTTGGGTCAATCTGTATTTTACAGTACTTAGAGGAATTTCTGAAAATTTCTTCATAAACAGAAATGGGTGTTTACAAAAAAAATCAACCTAAAGGGAGTACAGATGTAATTTCAAGTTTCTTTCATAAAGATGATTTTGTCCAAAAAAAATCAACCTAAAGGGAGTGCAGATGTAATTTCAAGTTTCTTTCATAAAGATGATTTTGTCCAAAAAAAATCTCACCGATTAATATGGTGATTGTACTTTGGCTCTATATTAAGGCTAATCGAGAAGAAGTATACAAACTGGAGGTCAAAACGTTTTTGGTGCATGAGTTGCGTGGTTGCTTAAGCATGGTAGGTAGGATAGGTTTAGTTGTAATTCGTAATAGGAAATTAATATTGCATTTATTTAGGAAAAATTTGGGAAACTAAACTTTTTCAAATATTGATTTTGTATATTATCGTACAGATACAACTTGCTCTTGAACTCGCTTTTCTGATCAATAATACAGGGTGTCCGGCCACGAAACATGACAGTATGCAGTACGACTTGAATGTCGTCTTGATTTTTGATATAATTTGCTGTGTTTATTTGTCAATCTAATTTTAGAAGTAAATTTCTAGAAGACTAAATGTCACAAATAAATTCAAATACCAAAGACGACTTTCAAGTCGTCTTCCTATTGTCATGTTTCGTGGGACACCCTGTACTTTATTCTGTATCATTCCAGATACAACGCTATATGTATTCTTCAATGTGTATCGTACAGATACAACTCCCTCTCGAACCCATTTGTCCGATTAATAATACTTCAGTCTGTATCAATCCAGATACGATTCTTTTAGCCTGTATCTATCTTGCGAGATACAACTCGAGCTAACCCTTTTCCTTTTCTACACGATAATTAATCATTTCTAAACATAATGAAGCAAAGATTCATGTTCAACTAATTTATATCTAAAGTAATGATGGGTTTTATAGTACATGTTAATGACATGGGCCGATAGGTTTTCTCAGAATTAACGAACGCATTTAGGATAAAGATAACGTATTACGAACATAGATTTATATACAAGATAAACAGTTAATGATCATGTTCAAATTTGTATTACATCCATATACACGCTGTACACAAAACGTACTGCTGTATACATTAGACAGTATATAAGGGGAGTCACAAAAAAGGTCTTCACGTGGATGGCGAAATAAAATAATTCACAGTAAGCTTGACTCATTTAAATAATTCACAGGAAGCTTGACTCATATACTTTAAATTCCGAACTATCGTATAAACGCGTAGTCAGGAGTTACACTCTAGAGAGATAGAAATGAAGATATCCAATATTTTCTTGATATTTCTAACTTCTGTTCCTATTCACGGATCCGTTACAAGGTAAACTATTGATTTGGCTCAAACTTTTGAAAGAAAAAAGAGAACATTTTGACACTGGGCCAATTTGTACAAACCGAAGATGATAGTTTTATTTTTGTCGAATCAAAAATATTATATAAGTGTAAACATTTAAAAATATGTCTTTAGATATTGTACTTAGATATACTGGGTTACCGACAGGCCAGTGCCACAGAGGATGTAACTCCATACATTTCAATATTTTTCTTAATATAACAGATATACAGAGTGTCCCAAAAAAAACTTTGCAGTATAGGACAGGGGAAAGTTTTCATTCAATTTTATTATTTTTCCATTTTTTTGTGAATCTGAAGTTATACGAAAAACATCATCACTTTTACTGTAATATTTTTACTTTATAGAATTGGTTTTTAAGTTTAAATTTTTAAGAAAGGTTTGAGAAGTTAGATATATTTATTAGTTAAGTAGGCCAAAAATGTGCTAGGATTTTTGTTAGCTTCGTTTAACGGAATATCTCAAAACTCAAGTGCACACTAGACTACAACAAAAAAACAGTTTGTTTTGCTTTTATCAGCCAATTTAATTTCAAATTATATAAAAATAACTAAATAATTAAAAAAAAACAGTTTGTTGCTTTTATCAGCTAATTTAATTTCAAATTATATAAAAATAATTAAATAATTTAAAAAAACAGTTTGTTGCTTTTATCAGCCAATTTAATTTCAAATTATATAAAAATAACTAAATAATTAAAAAAAACAGTTTGTTGCTTTTATCAGCCAATTTAATTTCAAATTATATAAAAATAACTAAATAATTAAAAAAAAACTTTAGACTAACAGCTGACGTTTCGAAAAAATACTAAAATTTGTCAATTTTTGCAAATTTAGAGGAAATCCAAAAAATCGAAAATTTGAAAAAAAAACATACCCAAAGTGGTAGTTTTAACAAAAAGTATGCGGCATTGAACGAAAGAAAAGAAATTAAACTTTTAAATATCTGAAAAAAGCTTTCTAACGACATCTTAAAATTAAACGAAAATTAATACCTTAGTACCTAGTACCCAGTACCAAGTACTGCAAAGTCTGGATTATATTAGTGATGAATCGATAGATTTTACAGATGCCACAGCGATAGAAATTTCACACCCTGGGCTACTGGCGCTGTGACATATAAAGGTTGGAAATGAATAAAATCATTGAAAAACTGAAAAAAATATTAAAACAGCAATTTTTTTTTTTTAAATACAGAATGAATTGATGAAATACAAAAAATAAATTAGAGTGACTGTAGACATTACCTTCATTTGTAGAGTGACATGTCCGATTAACAACGATACCCTGAGCTGAAAACTTTAGAATGGTGGATATCAGGATTATTGCTTATTTAAAACTTTTTCTTAATCTCCAGATTAAATATGGCTTGTTCTCCACATGAATTTAATCTCCAGAAAAGTCAACAGATCGGGATTAAGAATATCACATTCTAAAGTTTTCAGCTCTGGTCATATTAAAGATGAATGAAAAATCCTTGTTTTCACGTCTAAAATTGATATTTTCCATTGAGGTTTTTCTGTATGAAAGTGACTTGCAGATTTATGCTACAGATGAAGAATTAAACTGTCACTTGTTAGAATTCCTCATCTATTTCAGGATATAATTGTTCTGTAAGGGAGTCGTTGTAAATTCGACATACTATTCTATAGATAAAGGACCACTTAAAATAACACCCACAATTTTTTTAATTGTTTATATTGATTGTTGACATTGTTTGTGTTTTTTCTCTCTGAGTTTGCACGTCGTCGATGAATTATCAACAGCACAATGTTGTAAGTTACGAAATAAAAAACATATAATATTAAAATATAATAATAATACAATAATTTGCTAATCCAAATTAAAAAAATATATACAAATACAATAATCTTCTAATCCTGATTTTAAAAGAGTATATATATAAATGACATTGCAATACAAATATCTTGTAATCCAGATTTTAAAAGAATATATATAGATATATAATTGGCCTTGCAATACAATAATATTTAATCTTGATTTGAAAAGAATATATACAGGGTGTCCCAAAAAACATGGGAATTCAGTGACGAATTCGATGTCGTCTTTGTTATGAATTAGCAGTGTAATACCTAATGTCAAAAGCCATAATATTATTATGTCTACTAGAGTTTATTTTATGAAAAGTGTAAAAGACTGCAAAGATGTGTCTATAATGTCTTCGCAAGATGAACAGTGAAGACGGACAAGTTTACTCTGTTTGTATACTGTAATTTTCTTGTTTTACTAAGTACAACCGGTAGCAGTCAAAACATAAACAAACAAAATGTAAACATAGCAGACGAAACTCTTACAGATTACAGCTTTCTCAGTAGGTATCACTATACTAAATCAAAGAATTATTTGAAAAGACGATATCGAATTCGTGACTGAATTCCCATGTTTATTGGGACACCCTGTATATAAATGGCATTGCAATACAATAATCTTTAATCTTGAATTTAAAGAATATATATATAAATGACATTGCAATACAATAATCTTCGCATCCTGATTTTAAAAGAATATATACATAAATAGCATTGCAATACAATAATCTTCCATCTTACAATATATCCAAAATCAAGATCAATGTTAATTTTTTTCTCATTTATCATTAAAAAAAAATTGTTTCAACCCTTTATTTAACTTTTCTAACCCTAAGGGACAACCTTCACAGAGACGGGAAGATTCTACGATTTAATCAAATATATTGGAGGTAATAAATATATTTCTGACAACCTGTTTTCTGCAAATAATACCTGTATCATGTAAATTAACAACCTGTATCCTTAAAATTAACAACCTGTGTATCATGCAAAATAACAACCTGTGTCCTGTAAATTAGCAACCTGTGTATCCTGTCAATTAACAACCTGTATCATGTAAATTAACAACCTGTTTAATGAAAGATGACAACCTGTATCCTATAAATTAAAAATCTGTTTCATGAAAAATGATAACCTGTATCATATAAGTTGACAACCTGTATCATGTAAATTAACCACCTGTATCCTGTAAATTAACCACCTGTATCCTGTAAATTGACAACCTGTATCATGTAAATTGACAACCTGTATCCTGTAAATTAACCACCTGTATCCTGTAAATTAACCACCTGTATCCTGTAAATTAACAACCTGTATCCTGTAAATTATCAACCTGTATCCTGTAAATTATCAACCTGTATCCTGTAAATTAACAACCTGTATCCTGTAAATTAACAACCTGTATCCTGTAAATTAACAACCTGTATCCTGTAAATTATCAACCTGTATCCTGTAAATTAACAACCTGTACCTGTAAATTAACAACTGTATCATGTAATTTGACAACCTGTGTCCTGTGCATAAAACAAACTGTATCTTGTAAATTGAATATCTGTATCCTGTAAATTGACATCCTTTATCGTGTAAATTAACAACCTGTATCCTGTAAATTAACAACCTATATCCTGAAAAATTGACAACCTGTAAAATATGAATTAACAACCTGTCTCTTGTACATTGAGAACCTGTATCTAAATTAATAATCTGTATCCTGTAAATTGATACGTATCCTGTAAATTAACAACCTCTATCCATTAAATTGACAACCTGTATCCTGTAAATTTACAACATGTATCATGTAAATTAACAACCTGTATCCTGTAAATTTACAACATGTATCATGTAAATTAACAACCTGTATTCTGTAAATTTACAACATGTATCATGTAAATTAACAACCTGTATCCTGTAAATTTACAACATGTATCATGTAAATTAACAACCTGTATACTGTGAATTGACAACCTTAATCCTGTAAACTGACAACCTGTTTCCTGTAAACTAACAACATGTATCCTTATTATTGAATTCCTGGATCCTATAAATTGACAAACCGTATCCTGTAAATTATCAACCTGTATCCTGTAAATTATCAACCTGTATCCTGTAAATTAACAACCTGTATACAATAAATTGACAAGCTATATCCTGTAAATTGCCAACCTTTATTATGTAAATTAACAGCCTGTATCCTGTAAATTGAAATTCTGTATCCTGTAAATTGACAACCTTTATCCTATAAACTGACAACCTGTATCCTCTAAATTGAATTCTTGCATCCTGTAAATTGACAACCTAAGTATCGTGTAAACTATTAACCTGTATCCTGTATATTGACAACCTGTATCCTGTAAATTATCAACCTTTATCGTGTAAATTAACAACCTGTATCCTGTATATTGAGAACCTGTATCCTGTAAATTAACAACCTTTATCGTATAAATTAACAACCTGTATCCTGTATATTGACAACCTGTTTCCTGTAAATTAACAACCTTTATCCTGTAAATTGACAACCTTTATCATGTAAATTAACAACCTGTATCGTGTAAATTGACAAGCCGTATCCTGTAAAGTGACAAACTTTATCGTGTAAATTAACAACCTGTATCATATAAATCAATACCTGTATCCTGTAAATTGACAACCTGTATTCTGTAAATTATCAACCTGTAACATCTAAACATAAAAGGTGTTTCAACTTGTATCCTTTAAATTAGCAAACTGTTTCCTGTAAGTAACAACCTGTATCATCTAAATTTACAAACTTTAATTTATCCTGTAAAATGACAACCTGTATCATCTGAATTTACAAGCTTTATCCTGTAAAAAGAGAACCTGTACAATATAAATTTACAACCTGTATCTTTTAAAATAGCAACGAATTCCTCAACTAAAAAGTTTTAACCTCGCAAGATAATAAACGTGTTCCTAGATTAATTTAGATTTAATACTGATCAGACCAAAAAAAAAAAACTTTTGTTTTCTAGAGACTGTAACAGAACGCTCAATCAACGAAAGCTTTGATAAGCAGCAGGGGCACTCAATAGTCAGGTACATTATGATTTATAAGTAGCTAAAAAAATTATATTTTCAATGAGTGAGTACCAATGAATGTCGTATTACGTTAGCTTCTTGTGAGAAAAGTCACTTAAGACTTCCAATTTTGTAACTTATTCAGAAATTCAGAAATTTTAAGGGATATGTCAGTTACAATACAACAGTTAAAGGGAGTGTTCGCGAAAAATGAAAGGGGGTATAGGCTTACAGCGACAAATAATCGCTTCTGATCGCTACTAATCTTACTTCTATTTGTTGCGTCTATATGGAGAAAATTGTTAAAAACGTCTCATACCGAAGAACGAAGCGTTCATACAAATTGAGGAAGTTGGAACATACGACTTGGATCGTAAAAAATCAAATTAATATCAAACAAATAATTTAAATATTAAATCCTATAGTCATCGATTATTTTTCGACGCATTTGTATATAGTTGATATTTCATAATATTTTTTATTTTTGTTTTTTAAAATTAATATTTCGCTTACAACTTGTTTTCACGACTGGCGCATTCCCGGAAAATCTGGAAAATATCGTCTTCATTATCAAAATCCTTGAATCAGGAATGAATGTTTTCAAAAGTCACTCTCGGATCATAGAAAGTAAAACATATTATGAAATAAAAAAGTTTCTTTATTTAGATGTGAGACTGCAGATATAAGATTAACAGAAGAACGGTATAAGGAATGTCTCTACAGAGTTGCATATAGGGTAACATTTCTTATACTGCGTGTCCCAAAAAAAAACATGGGTAACAGAACAAGTTTGTTTTCTCACTCTTGGAGTAAAATCTAGAGAAGATGAGAACTCACAAAGTCGTAATAGTAATGGCGCTCCCTGATTATCATGTTGTTGACTTTAAAAGTCAATATGATAAAATAAAAGAGATCTAACGGTATTTCTAATCTTTATTTATAAAAACAAAAGGTTATGAAATATTTTCCCAAGTGGGGCTTAAATTGATTGGTTTAGAAATTAATAAAGAAACTATAGACGAATATCAGTTAGAAGGTGTTTGTAGAACTTCATGATGGTGATGCAGATCATCAATCTTGACGGCAGGCTTTCTCACAACTAGGCTTAGTCTAAGGGAGAGAGATTGCGGACTTATCCTGTATACAGGATAATGGAAGGAAGTCTGGTTCCGCCCGGATCTCTGGAACATTGTGGAGCGCGGAGCTAGGTGTAAGCAGTGTCTTCTGTTGTTGGTTCCGTATCTGAATCATCATCACAAAGGAGCCAGGGTTGAGACGGAGTTGTGAATCTCGTGAGTGTTTTCCGCTGACTGACTGGTGAAGCGGGAGCTAGGTTGAGCGGAGATTTGACATGTGGGGTGTGTTGTATGGCGGAAAAGGATTCTGTGTATTCAGTGTACACACACATCCAGGGAATTAACATCGGCATTTGAGTCGGAACAATCGTCTTCCTTATATTTCGAATTTGTTTTAACACATGTATAGATGGATTGCTGGTTTGATTGATGCTTGGTATTTTTTTATAATTCTATGAGTTTAATTTTCTTTTTTTCAGATAAATCAATGAAAATTAATTAAATCAAGCTCTTCGCCCGTATATATTTGTTTGTATAGATGTTAGCTATAGCTAGCCAAACGGCTGGACCAAATGGGGTGAACATTTGTTTAGGGAACCCAAAGGTGCCCGGGGAGTAACATTTCTTTCGCACTAAAAATCTATAAAAGATAAAAATATAATAAATTGACCCCGCAAAAATAGCTTGGCGGCACATTTAGGATAGAATCAACTGTTGTGACTTAAGGGTGAAATTTAGTGCACCCAAGAATTCATTTGCGGAAAAGCTATGTTAGCTGCCCCAAGTATTAAGGAAATCGATTTTTTTCACAATTCGATTTTCTTTAATCCAATTCTTTTTATTGTACGAGGGGTTTTGACGTTTTATTTATCATTGAAAATTCTTTAATTTGTTAATAAATATAATAATTATTAATTTTAGGTACGTTGCAATAACGTGCGAACCGTAGATAAATTTTGCAAAAAGTTTCAACATTTCTTTCAAAACTGCAACAATTTGCTGGGTAACTCAATTTTACTATATAATTACTAAATTTTTCAAAGAATATTTAGATTATACATATCCTTCTCAAATTTATATCAAAAAATAAAAAATTGAAAATAATTAAATACCAAAAACTAAATAGCAAAAAAAAACAATAATGATTTTTTGATTTTAGAAAATGTAAATAAAAAGAATCTTAATAATCCCGCGGTAGAGCTGAGTTTCAAACTAAATGGTTTTTTACATTTTATTTATGTTTAGATTTATTGATAAAAGCTTTCCCACGTTTTCTTTACACTCTTTTTACATTTTTACCTTTTGCATGTTTAACCTGTTACAATTGTGTCCCTGTCCTACGTTTCCCTCTGTCCTATGTTTATCTCTGTCCTATGTTTATCTCTGTCCTATGTATATCTCTGTCCTATGTTTGCTTCTGTCCTATGATTGTCTATGTCCAATGTTTATTTCTGTCTTATGTTTGCCTCTGTCCTATGTTAATCTTTGTCTTATGTTAGTTTTAGTCCTACATGTGTCCTCGTCCTATATTTGTTTCTGTCCTTTGCTTTTTCTGTCCTATGTTTCTCTTGTATCACGTTAGTCTCGTTCTACGTTTGTCCTTGTTCTATGTTTTCTCTGTCCTAAGTGAGTCTCTATCCTACGTGTGCCTGGTTAAACGCTTAGTCTTGTCCAACGTTTGTCTTATCCTATGTTTGTCCTTACCTTTGTTTTCTTGGCCTACGTCTGTCCTGGGCTACGTTTTTTTAGTTTTTCCTAGTCCCAAATAGACGAGATTCTACATGTCATATATTTTACAGTTATACGCTCTATAATTCTGCGTTACAGGGTAAAGGAATAAAGTTTTTGCCACAAACTTAAATTTTCGGATTCCAATATCTCAGAGACCTGATGTTGTGAACCTTTGATATTTCAAACTAAGAAAATTTGAGCTAACAGAATCCATAGTTTGAAATATCTAAGGTCTCCGACAACGCACCTCTGACCCTTTAGTAAAAGTGAATTAAACCTATTGTCTGACCGCGTCATCCTTGTTGCACCAGCTAGTCCTATCGAGTGTCTTGGCGATACAGTTCAAACTGGGACCGGCTCGTAAATTCAAATTTACTATGGCTGCCCGTGCGACATTTGGTTGCAACAATATAAGGATTACAAAATCAGAGTTTGTGGTTTGTGGCAAAGACTCATTTCCTATGTTTACTTATGATGCATGTACAATTGTACATTGTACATATAGGATTCTAGTAAAACCTATGAAAAGTTTTAAAAAATGCTGACTGTTTAATAAAAAAATTATGTTTAAATTCCAAATCTATTTTCAAGAAACCTGTTTTTTCCCTGAAGCCGTTCTACGAATAAAAGGAGCGCAGCTGGAAGCCCTGAGCACTGGTTTAGACTCCAGGTCCACCTGCAATATACCAATACCAGTAAGTATTCTTTTCATTGTAATTATAGTAATGTGCATTATGCAGTTCGTTTTGGAGTTGTTGTTACCTATATTTTCTTTTAGAATCAAGTTTTTAAAATTGTTTATACTGAACCCTTTTCTTACAAAATTTAAAATTATAACGATCGTTTTTTTTATCGTTTAAAATTATCATTCTAAAATTTTTTTTCTTTAATTTTTAGGATAGATTTAATAAAATTTAATAAAGCAAACCTTAATAACTATGACAGCATAAAAAAAAAAGTTTTTAAAAAATATTTGAAAAGATTAACAACACTAATAGTAATGTGTAATACACGTCAAGCTAAAGCAAATTTCACAATTTTATAGGTTTTCAATCATGAGTTCTCTTAATGAAGAGAAATATGAAGAAGGTTGAAACCTGATAAAGGAATTATAGTTTTCGCCCCAAACTCAAATTTTTGAATCCTTCAATGTCAAAGGCCTTTGATATTTCAAACTATAAATTCAGTTAGACCAATTAGTTAAGTTTGAAATATATAAGGTGTGCACCATCAGGTTACACAGATATAGAGATAAGAAAATTTAGTTTGAGGCAAAGATCCAATTCACTTGCTTTTCTTATACTTAATGTAAAAAAGAGGAGCTACTAGGTCATAGCAGTGATTTTGCTTAAATTTGACCTTCTGATCCTTCGATCTTTAGATGTAAATTCAAGTGATTTTCCGCAGCATTGCTATCTTCAAATATAGGGTCACTCCAAATTACGCGTGCAGTCCCTTTAACAGTTATTTTGTTCAGGAAATTGTTGCTGTGACATATTCACCAACTGGTATTCCAGGATTAATTGACACGTAGACAAAACAATTTCAAGACTCAGAACTCGGCAATCTCTCAATATCACTCCAATCTAAAAGAAAATCAGGAATAGGATCTTCTCTAATGTATTTGTATCGGCCCGGTACTGATAAATCTGCTATTGTATAGAGTATAGATTTTTAATCATACTTCTTAAAATTTACATTTCTACATTTATGAAGACGACTTTTATATTTAAGTTTTAATTTCTAACCTAGCTTTTTTTAGATTCTCTTTGTATCAATTCAGTTTGAAAGCTTGGTAAAATTTTTTATTGGAAGTCGTCTTTATTATATTGAGGACGACGACTATAAAATCATGTATTAGTTACTTCCTTTATACTGTTTAGATTCTACAAAATTTAAAGCTTAAATTATGATGAAAATGATAAGTATACTACATGATACAGTGAAACCCTTAATAACGAATACATCGGAAGAATTTATCAAATGTCGTCTTGACAATTTTTCAATTAGTTTTATACTATATTAAGTAAATTTCAGTATTTTCGAAAATAAATAAATAGCAATGAATATGCGGGAACAGTTTTAAAGAGTTCCATATAATCATTTAATTAAAAAACTAAATATCTGCAACATTTCATTATCAGAAAGTGAAGAATACGACATTTGATGAATTCTTTCGATGTATTCGTTATCAAGGGTTTCACTGTAGTATAGTGTGAACTTGTTTTAAAATATGTAAAAATGTACCTGTCATTATATGTAGTATATATATAGATTCTCAGATAATAAAGTATGTTCTTATTTATTATTATTATTATTAAAGATTTATTCACACACATCTAATATACATGAGACATCCACAATAACCAAAGGGAGTAAACCATAGATAAAGATAGATTGCGCATAAGACGACATTTTTCATCTTGAAAGATATAAATGTACAGAGATGTTTTAAAGATATTCCTATTATATAGATTAACTAGTTAGGTTGTGAACATTGGCTGTTCTTATGTAATTGAGTAGTTGTGGTGTACATGAGTTCTGTAGGCAGAAATTTAAGTTAGTTTGGTCCTTCTCATGTCCTTCTTCAGTTCTCGTCAATACGATATATTGCTCATGTGAAATATTGTTGTTCAAATAGTTCCATTCCTGGAGTTATTTTACACTCTATTATGAAATCCATTAAAACACCAAACCACCCCACTTATCATTGAAGTACACTTTGACCCCTAGAAGTATGAGTTCGCGGACTGTACAATTCTTGATGATTTTGCGTACATAAGCTATCTATCTTTATTTATTTATCTATGGAGTAAACCCCTCGATGTTTTTAGTAGACTGGGCATTCACAATAATCAAAGGGTGTAAACCCATTCTCGATGTTTAATTCAGAATTTAGTTAGATAGAATAGATGTAATAAACTTAATATAAACTCTTTATTTTACCGTTCTTCCAGGTCACCCACGCGTATTGTACTGCACTGCACGGCACCCCAACTGTGACCCAACTTTATATTGTACTATATTGCACTCAAGACAAATCTTAAATTTAAATTTTACTTTTTTTGCACTTTCAACCTGTCTGCAAAAATACGAAGAGTTTTACAAATTTCCAAGTTTTAAAGGTGAACGGAACCCAAGCCATATCCGGTTTCCGTACTGTAGTGAACGCTGGAATTACTTTTTCACTCTCACGAAGTTTCGTGAATTTCTTTCATCGAAAATTTTGATGGAAACCCTAAAATTCACGTCTGTTAATTTTTTTGTTGTTGTACCATTGATGATTTCCAATCTTTTCTGACTGATCAAACCTAATATATTTTCCAAAATTGAGGTACTGCGGAGACATTCTTTTTATAACTGATAATTTTTTTTCGTATTTTTTCAAAATTCAATACAAAATTATTCCATTTTTTATCCAATTTGTATGTAATTTGTGCTTTGCTGGGATCATGCAATCGTAATCAAAGAAAATTAATATTTTACGATCAACACGTGTTTTGAAAATATTCATTTTCAACATTCTTGGCTTAGTTTTCCCTGTCAACTTTAACTAATAGGCACAAATTACAGAATACACAGATATCATGTTACACAGATTACTTATTATACACAGATTACAGATTACACAGATTACAGATTACACAGATTACAGATTAAACAGATTACAGATTACACAGATTGGAGATTACAGATTAACTAATAGGCACAAATTACAGAATACACAGATATCATGTTACACAGATTACTTATTATACACAGATTACAGATTACACAGATTACAGATTACACAGATTATAGATTACACAGATTACTTATTATACACAGATTACAGATTACACAGATTACAGATTACACAGATTACAGATTACACAGATTACAGATTAAACAGATTACAGATTACACAGATTGGAGATTACAGATTAACTAATAGGCACAAATTACAGAATACACAGATAACAGAATACACAGATAACAGATTACACAGATTACTTATTATACACAGATTACAGATTATACAGATTACAGATTACACAGATTACATATAATAGGCACAAATTACAGAATACACAGATAACAGAATACACAGATAACAGATTACACAGATTACTTATTATACACAGATTACAGATTATACAGATTACAGATTACACAGATTACATATTACACAAATTACAGATTACACAGATTACAGATTACACAGATTACAGATTACACAGATTACAGATTAAACAGATTACAGATTACACAGATTACAGAATGCATAGAGTACAGATTACACAGATTGCATATTACACAGATTACATATTACAAAGATTACAGATTACAGATTACACAGATTACAGATTACAGATTTCACATATTACAGAAAATAAGTTTCTGTTGTATTTAATTATCATTATATTTTGTGTTCTGTAAGAACAGTTTCAACAATGTTCCCAAGATTGTCTAGACATATTAAGGTACAATTCTCCAATTTAAAATTGTAAAGATAATCTTATAGGCATAAAGATTAGACATTCCAAGATTTATAAAAAATAAAGATAGGAATTAAGATATCCAATATTATTTAAAATAAAGTATAGGCATACACAGGTTATACATTCCAATATAAAACATTGTTAATTCATATGAACTGTCAACATGACCTGAAGGGTGTCTTCGAACACGACTTGCCTGCAAGTTATTTATACTAAAGTCCCCCATTAGGTTGTGGTAACACTCTAAAAAAATTAAAAATTTTACTTTAACAATATTTGTTGGAGCACCAGCATCAAGTTCACCTTAGCTGAATTATTCGTAAAATTTGATTGGATACATTAACAGTGTTGTTTTATGATTATTCAACAATTCAAGCTTGACCCGTCAACAGACAGTTTTATTGGTGGTGCCACTTACTCAAAATTTGTTACTGCATATTCAAGTTTGTTGCTACAGGGTGTCCCAAAAAACATGGGAATTCAGTGACGAATTGGACATCGTCGTTGTTATGAATTAGCATTGTAATACCTAATTTCAAAAGCCATACTATTATTATGTCTGCTAGAGTTTATCTTATGAAAAGGGTAAAAGACTGTAAAGATGTGACTATAATGTCTCCGCAAGATGAACAGTGAAGACGGACAAGTTTACTCTGTTTGTATACTGTAGTTTTCTTTTATATTATATATTATATTTTGAAAAAATGTACCTAATAAAACTAGTTTTTATTCACTTTCAATCCCAAATTTGGATTATCCAACAAGGTTTGAACATCTAAAAAGTTGACAGAGTTAAAAGGAATTTATTCTGTGCCACAAAAAAATTTATAATTCTAATATCTTTGAAACTTGATGGTGTAGGCCTTATTTTGAAATTAGATTATTAGATATAACAAAATTCATAGTTTATATATCTAAGCTGTCTACTGCATTTGTTGGCCGGCAAAGATCTAAGGGAAAGAAAAGCAGGGTGTGTGGCAAAGGCTCAATTTCTTTTTTTAAAAAATCAGATTTTATCCAAATTTAACAAACTATTTCTGCACCAATATTCAGAGATAATAATCAAAAAAAGGTAGACACATCGTAATCATTTAAATTTTCATACTTTTTACAACTAAAAAATAAATTTTTCAGTATCCACTGCTGTACCTTGGCTTGGTATGCTTGGGGATTCTTTTTACAAATTATTTATCCTCACAAAGCTCTTATAAAGTAACAGGTAAAATAAAATATAGCTTATTGAATATAAAATATAATGAAATGCAATTCATAAATTGGATATTGCTGTTAAATTGTGTCATAAATATACTATGATCTGCAAACATATTCTAAATTTTTTACTGGATAGAAAAGGACTACGGATTTCGGAAAACCACAAGATCTTTCATACAGTGCGACGAGTGTGAAACGTATCTTTTTTAAGATCCAGATTGCTAATAAGTTAAATACTCATCTGTAAGCGTTATTTCCATAGATAAATAAATAAACATAGATAGCTTAAGTACGCAAAATCACCAAAAATTGTACAGTCCGTGAACTCATGCATCTAGGGGTCGGGGTGTACTTCAATGATGAGCGGGGTGGTTTGGTGTTTTAATGGATTTCATAATAGAGTGTAAAATAACTCCTGGAATGGAACTATTTGAACAACAATAATTCACTGAGAAATATATCATATTGACGAGAACTGAAGAAGGACATGAGAAGGACTAAACTAACTTAAATTTCTCTCTACAGAACTCATGTACACCACAACTACTTAATTACATAAGAACAGCCAATGTTCACAACCTACCTAGTTAATCTATATAATAGGAATATCTTTAAAACATCTCTGTACATTTATATCTTTCAAGATGAAAAATGTCGTCTTATGCGCGCAATCTATTTTTATCTATTGTTATTTCAAGTGACTCTCCGACCTCCATGCAAAGATGGCAATGCCCTTGATTTACATTTAAATCGAGGACAGAGAAGTGTGCGCGTTTATCTCTTTAAAAGTTTTCGAATTGCCAGTTTTCAAAATGTTTTATGCGACTTTTAGAAAGCAAATATTAACATTTTCAAAATATAAAACATCTTGCAAATTAATTAAATTAATCAGGATAAATCCGACATCCTTGATCAGTCAAAGGTTTAAAGTGTACTGTTGTGAATGGGATACGCCACTCTACTAATAGGGTCACATGAACTTACACCTACAGTCCCTTTAAAATAATAATTACTTATTATTTAACTAGTTGATGTGTGTCCCCCTGGGTTTAAACTTCTACCAGGAGATATATCTGGGTATGGTAGTTTAGATGATACGCTGCATACTCTACCCAACATAAGTGTGTAAGTCACAGATAAGAAGGAACAGCTACTTTTTTCTCTTTACACCGAGTAACGAATTTTCTCATTTTTTTGTATTCTAACGATCCACGAAAAAAATCAGTTCTCGTTTTAAATAAAAGATTATTCAATGCATATCCAATTAGAAAAATGCGAGAAAACTACAATTATTATTTTCTGTTCAGAGGTGCTGCTGTTCTAATTTTAAATGGATCTCATTCTGTATATATTTTAGATCTTTGCCATGCCCGGTTCACAGCGGTAACCTTAAAATCTTTGTATAATCATTGATCAACAATTAATAAGAGATCCCTTTTTATTTTTCTCAATGTTAGGTTCTTTCACACACTTAAATTACAGTGACAATCTTTTTATAAAAACAAAAACCAAAAACATTGAACTTTTAAATAGTTTCTTTATTCTTGTCTATTTAGGTGTGCCACAAAGTGTAAAGAAACCAAGGGTTGTTTTTCCTTCGAATACAGTCAGAATCTCAGGAAACTAATCTTCAGTTTACTACAACGGATGTTTATGAATTTTGACCAACATTACTGACCAATTTGGTAAAATAACCATCCGTTCTGCAAAGTATTTGGGGAAAAAATTAGCACATTTTTATTTTAAAAACGATAAAATTGTTTACACCTATTTTTACGGGAAATTAAAAATTTTACTTAACCTCGACCCTTGCTGCCCTCTGGATGTTTTGTAGTCAAAATTATTCTAGGGAACCCTTGTAAAGTAAAATTCCTTTAACTTTCCTTGTAAAGTTGTTGTTAATAATTATCAAAAGCATTTCTGGGGATTTTATGTTTCGCCTTGATTACAAAGTACAAAATCTGTATCTTGGATTCAAAACAAAATCTAAAACCAAGACGACTTTTGCTTGCCAATGTTTACTGGTGTAATGAGTTATAAACGTATAAAAAATTGAAGAATTGAATTAGTTCCTGTAATTTAAACAAGGAATACCTTCCTCATCTAGGACAGGTAAATTCAAGGAACATAAACAAGGAATGCCTTCCACATCTAGGACAGGCAAATTCAAGAAACATAAACCTTTCACATTGAGGATAGGTAAATTCAAGGAACATTATCAAAGAATACCTTCCACAATGAACATAAACAAGAACCTTCCACATCTAGGACAGGTAAATTCAAGGAACATAAACTAGGACAGCGCTCAGTCTCATCGGCTTCTATATATAAATTTGGCTTGTTTGTCTGTTTGTTTGTTTGTATCCAATAAACGTCAAAACGGCTGAACCGATCGGGCCCAAATTTTTTGTGGGACAATCACGTGACCACAGGGAAGGTTTATGAATCATAAAAAAATTTTTAAAAAATGTGTTTTAAAGGTTTTTAATTTTGTTAAAAAAATAAATTCTTGAAAATCCGCGAATGTTTTTTTAAAAATCCGCAAAAATTTTTTTCTTCTTTGTTTTAAAATGTAAACAAAAAGAACATGTTCACAATTTAAATAGAAGATGGGCCCTAAAAGCCTAGTAACTTTATATTCATGTAAACTGTTTTATAAAAGAGTGTATAAAACCAGGAATAATTAAGAAAAAGAAAAATAATATTAGGTGCCAACCTAAAATCAAACCACTATGGGCGGGATCTACTGATAATAGCACTATGAGCAGAATGTAAATACAAAAGATTTGACCTCAGGACCCTGCAAAGTAACTTTATTATACAAATAAACTGAAATTTAGGCTCAGTTTAGAAAATAAATCCCGTAAAAATGCAGTACACCTTACTGTTAACAAAGTTTTGAAGTAGATTGTATACACCTTATAAGGTCATTATATTTAAATAAACGAATTCTCAATTTAAATGTTTAAATTTTTATAATTTTGTTTGTTTAGTGGGAAGATGCTTTGTTTTGCTCCCTTAATCTTAGAGATGATCAGTATATTAATCCAGTTTTATGGGGGAACTATCCAGATCCAGGTATCCAGATATGGTATCCAAGTATCCAGGATATCCAGGTATCCAGGGTATCCAGGGTATCCAGGTATCCAGGGTATCCAGGTATCCAGGGTATCCAGGTATCCAGGGTATCCAGGTATCCATGGTATCCAGGTATCCAGATATCCGGATATCCCATTAATTAGATATCCATATATCCAGATATTCAGATATCCATGGGTATCCAGATATACAGGTGTCCAGGTGTCCAGATATCCAGGTATCCAGATATCCAAGCCAGGTATCCAGATAACCAGCTATCTAAATATCTATCAAGGAATCCGGGTATCCAGGTGTCCAGGTGTCTTGGTATCCAGATATCTAGATACCTATGTATCCTGAGCTGAAAACTTTAGAATGTGATATCCTTAATCTTGCTCTCTTAATTAATCTGAAGATTAAAAATGAGAGGAGAAAAAGCCATATTTAATCTGGATATTAAGAAAAAGAGTGGATTAAGCCTTAATCCCGATATCCACCATTCTAAAGTTTTCAGCTCAGGTATCCATGTATCCAGGCATCCAGGTATCAAGGTATCCAAGTATCAAGGTATCCAAGCTAGCTAGGTATATAGGTATCCATGAGGATTTTAAATGTGTTTTGGCAAGTATACATTCTTAATATTAAGGCGTGCTAAAGTTGAAAGATGGGAAGGGTTATATTGCTGTTACAGCTTCAAACTATGCATTTGGGTTCAAAAACGAGCCTGCCTTTCCTATTCATTACTCTACAGATCTTATTCATTGGAGTCAAAAAGGTATTGATTAGATTTTTAGTTTTTAACTAGTTTCTAATTTGATAAAAAAAAGTTTTGCTGCAAATTTTTTAATCCCTTTATCTTTTTCACACAATGTCGTAGACCTAAAAACGAATTTTCTTTGATCAAATAATCTGAGTTTGAAATATCAAAGGTTAACACCATCAGGTTGCAGAAATATAGGGATTAGAAAATTAGAGTTTGTGGCGATTAAAAAGTAATACCAAATTCAAAGCAAAAATGTTAATCTGGGACCAGACTTCCTGAATAGGAGAAGCAGTTTAACCAATTACCGGCCAACACGTTTTTTTTCTGCGCGTGGACAAGCTTAAACACTGGGTTAACTTAGAAAAAAAAGAGTTAACTGGGTTCCTTCGTGCCCGCATGGAAATAGTTTGTATTACTTCGTTGTCAAGTTATTTAAAGCAATAGTTAACTTAAAGATGTCCGTGAACGATGCTTTCTGTAAAAAAATAACCAAAAGATATTTTTCTATTATCTATATCTTTTCAACCTGATTTCGAAGACCTTTGATATTTCAAACTATAGAGGATCTGGTTACAAGGATGCATTGATTAGAAAATTTCAGTTTGGTGGATTAAATTCAGATATATAACAAGAAAAAAGGGGTTTCTGGCGTAAACACTATGATTGTTATGGCAGAGTACTTATTATAAATTATGATATTATTTTAAGTTATAGCTAGCTAAATGACTTCGCCAAATTGGGTGATTTTTTATGGAACCCATTGTTTCCTCGGAGATGACATAAGCTAAATTTCTAGACATTTTTTAAATTCCGGGGGCAACGCCAGGAACTTACTTATTCAATTTTATTATTAGCTATCATTATCAGTACCGGTATAATCATAAGTACCATGATTATCATTATCATAATTATTATTTTTATCCTCATTATTATAGCATTATTATTACTATTAAAAAAGATTATTTTTAAAATATTTTTAGGCTGGGTGTTCCCGCGGGGTAGATGGCCCTCCTGGTGTTTCCAGGCAGAGTTTCACATTTTTAATTTTTTTTTCAAGTTAACAGGACTGTAAGTATAATTTCAAGTGACCCTCCATTAATAGATTTGGGTCCGTCCTAGAGAAAGATTTTTGGACCCCCCCCCCCCTACTCCTATCAATTTTGTACATTTACTTTTTATTATTGAGGGTTAGGTTAAGTTAAGCCAATTTCTGGGCCAAGCGCTGCGGCTATGATTGGATAGGGGGCCGAGCGCTGCGGCTAGCACAGGCTAGGGGGCCGAGCGCCTCGGCTATGACAGGCTAGGGGGCCGGCACTGCGGCCACATGATCAATTTTACAAAATGTACAAAATTGATGGAAGGGGGAGGAGCCGGGGGCTGGGGGGGGGGGTCCAAAAATCGTTCTCTAGGAAATTACCTATTGCCTATTTTAAGTCTAAAATAATGACAACACCATTATTGATTATATAAACGTTTTATGGGTAACCATGGGAATTGGACATTACCATCTTTGCATATCTTTGATATTTACTGTAAAATTATTTTTCGTTGAATAATTGCCGAGTATGATAGATTTTACTCCGGACCATGTAACATTTTCTTCAAAAAAGTGTATTCCTGTTTTTACAGGAATATTTTGATCTCGCATTCAAGAACCGTAAAAGACTTAAATACTTAAATATTTAAAATACATGGTCAAACAAAAAAGTGTGATTAAGAAAATATTACAAATTAAATGAACATCTCAGATACTTGTGGAGCCTTTACTAAAAAAGCGAATGTTTTAAAACAAATCAAAATTTTTTTGTTTTATAGGATATGTGGTCCCCTGAAATACATTTTGTTAAAAACAAATACATTGTCGTTTTTTCAGGAAGGTAAATTATTTATACAAAACATACATACACAATACAAAATACATTATTAGAGATAAAAAAAAACATTCATAAAGTACATTAAAAAGGGGGCAGCCCGCGGCAATCTACACATTTTTTAAATTCTTTGTGAAAGAAACAAATCTCGATGACTGAAGAGAGTCAACCCTGATCAAAATGTAAAATTTTCACTGATATTCCTGTTTTCATATGGCGTCAAACCTTATAGAAATCCAACGTATGGACCCGCTACGTATAGCAACATGGCGTATTTTCCGGGAGAACATTTTTTATATTTTTGAGAAATTAAATAATCAGTGTAAAGTAAATATAATTTTCATAAAATCCTTTTATTTAAATGGTAAAACGAAATTTTATGAAATCATATTAGCATTACTGGAGAACTTTTTTTATACTTTTAAGAATTTTTTCCAAACCTAAAATGTACGTATTAAACTATTTTGCTCCTTTAATGTCTAGTTTATGTTAAAAAAAAGTAGAAATTATGATAATGATAACGATAAACTACAATATTTTACAAAAACGTTTAATTTTTCAAAAATATAAAAATATGTTCTCCCGGAAAATACGCCATGTTGCTATACCTAGCGGGTCCATACATTGGATTTCTATAAGGTTTGACGCCTTTATATATAACCAGTTTGAAAAGTTGTATAAAATTGAAGACTGCCTTTAAACCTAAGTATTATGTAGAGAAAAAAATGTCGACCTGAACGCATATTAACTGTTGGATCTTACAATCTATTAATGGACAAACAAACAAACAGACAAGCCAATTAAATACAAATGTTCACCAATTATTTCTTTAAACCGTGTAAAAAAGTAAAAATTTGAAAGAAAAAAAATAATTTTGTTTAGGAATATGTATACAAAGAAACACGCTGCAGGATTGGCTGTATCTAACAGGTTAAAAAGAAATTCTCCATTATTAATAGTTCTTTTATTAACCTATTTTTTTAGTCCATTTGGACCATTTAAGGAGATTAGTGAAAATCCACTTCTAGAAAATGAGGTAAGAGAAACCTTTAACTTTGTAATGATCAATTTTGAAAGGAGAGTTGTGAACTTGTTGCCCCAACTCAAATTTTCTTAGATTATTAGATCTAACAGAAGTCATAGTTCAAAATATCTAAACTATGGGATAAGAAAATCTGAGTTCGCGAGAAAGACTCAATTCCTTTCATGATTTTTTCTACTTTGAGATCCCATAAAACTTTGAAATATGAAGCTGATAAGATTGTTTAATTTTAAAGTTTTCCAATCGGAATTCCGTTGCACGCAATTGCGCGGAATTGCACGCAATGGTTGCTTCCGCTTAAGCCATTTCATTGCACGCAATTGCGCTATAATTGCAACAAGGAAGCAATTAAATATTGGGGGAATTGCTCGCAATTGCGTGCAACAGAATTGCTTTTCCATCTAAAAATCAATAATTTTAACTGTGACTTATAAATTTTTGCAGAATCAGAAAATGGAAATATCTCTGCAGATTTTAAAATAATTAAGGCCTGAGTTTAACAATTCATATAACAGTTTTCAAATTTTAAAGCTTCTTCTGGTTAAGCCACTAATTAACAATTTAATAGGATACTTTTTCATTTGTTCACATTTGATGAACATTACAATGGAAACATTTGTGGTTAAATTGTAAGGTTTATGTTTAGTCAAAATTAGATATTTTGATACAGTGAGAACAAGAAAACTATGGTACAGAAAGACAGCATCACAGCGTATTTGATTTCGTTACAAAGCAAAAAAACATTAAATAGTATCTTATTAAATCACTTGTTCAATTAAATGGGTTTGCGAGAGTAAAAAATGTCGTCTTTCTATGCCAGAGTTTTCTGGTTATCATGCTGCAAATAAATATTATAAAACAAAATGTTAAGTTTAAATTCAATTTTCTTAGCATTTGTGACATAAATGTTAATGAAAATCAGTTTATTGTATGCCACTACTAAAGTATAAATTGATGTTTTTGTTGCATTTATTGAGTGCCATAAGGTTTAAATTGAATATCATCAAAAAATTGAAACACAAATGCAAGAAAGTTGGACGGAATTGCGCGCAATTTTTGTTGCGTTTATTGCGCGCAATTATTACGGAATTGCGCGCAATTAAATTTACTTGCGTGCAAGGGCTCGCAACTGCCCGAAAGTAAAATTAACTTGAGTTGGAAACCCTATTAAATTGTTATTTTCTATTTCGGGGGTCTCATATCATATGATGTAGCAAATGGCTATAACAAAACAGTTTAGTTGAATTTTAAAGCTCTTGTAAATATACCACAGCGTTCTTCATCTAGTTAAAAAAAAAAAATTAACAAATCTTTCTCTTTATTTTTTATCTTTCACTGTTCCTATCATAAAACTAGAATAGCGTCAATCAATCCATTGTATTCAGTTTGGAGTGGTTGATCCGCATGTGTTTGAGGACTCAAAAACAGGCAAAACATTAAAAACACATTTTTACAAAACTTGTTGCTAAAGTGCATTTAATATTGTTTTCATGCTCTTAAAATTTAATATCATAGTAATACAGGTTAAATACGTTTGAAAAATTATTTGCTGCACGAGACGTTTATAAATGGTTTTGTAACTAAAAACACATTGAAATAGGGCATGTTTATATAATCTGGAAATCAGAAAATAATGTAGAAGATAAACCCAGCAATATATATATCAGGTAGATGGCCACTGGCCACTCTCTTTGTATCCAGGTATCCAGGTATCCAGGTATCCAGGTATCCAGAGGCCGAATTTAAAGAATTTGAGCCGCGGCTCGAATTTGAGACGCGGCTCAAATATATTTGGTTCCGCTTAGAATTGTATTCATTGTTTTCAAAATTTAAGCCGGCGCTCAATTAAAACCGGTTTTGGAGGATTTTGGAGCTCAAATTTTTTAATTCGGACTCAGGTATACAGGTATCCTAGTATCCAAGTATCCAGGTTTTGAGGTATCCAAGTATCCAGGTATCCAGGTATCCAGGTGTCCAGGTGTCCAGGTGTCCAGGTGTCCAGGTGTCCAGGTATCTAGATATCCAGGTATACAGGTATCTAAGTAATCAGAAGCCAAGTTATGTGAATTTTTGCCTGTTTTAAAACTTTTATTAGTCAGATTATGAAGGAATGTCCAGGTTGAACTTTTTAGACCATGAAGCCATAAAATATTTTTTCTGTTTAAAGGCTGATTAGATCTCTTTAACAAGTACATTATTTAATCGATTTTCAAAGATTTTATCTATGTCTATCAAATAGTTTTTTAAACATAGATTAATTCTTTATTACTCACGCAAAATCATCTTTTTTATTGATAATTTTAGCTTTAAACTAAAGTCCTTCAAGTTTCCAATTTTTTTAAACCAGTTTTCGCATATTTTTCTATTTAAGTTGGTGCATTTACGATGATAATAATTGTCAAAATCTTCCTCTCAAAATTTTCAAATGTTGACTGTCTATTACCTTACTGGAGGTCATGTGAGTTCGGTTCAGCTGTTTTGAATTTTATTGGATACAAACAAGCAAACTATTTATTATATGGATATTACAGATTTTTGAAGTTGAATGTTGAGCTTTATTTTAGAAGAATGGAATATTCCGGTTTCAATTTTAAGGGTTGGTCTCCTACTTTCCTTATACTAACAGCAGATATGGAAGAGGTATTTATAAATTCATTTTTAAGGGTCTTTATTTTTTTTTACAGCAATAAGTCAAATATTTAAATTCAGAAACTATAATAATACATATTTAACTGTATCACCATTCACCATGCTAATCACCAGAAGATTTTTGTAAAATTAGTAAACAGTAAATTTGTTTAGGAAAGGAATATGGTAGGAGGTCCTTGGATGATAAAACGAAGAGAGATGTACTACCTCTTCTACACTGTAAACTGGTTTAACGTTCCAGAACATTCCGTTAAAGTTGCCAGGTAAATGTTCCAGAATATTCCATTGAAGTTGTCAGGTAAACGTTCCAGAATCTGAATATTCCATTGGAGTTGCCCGGAAAACGATCCAGAATATTCTACTGGAGTTGCCAAGAAAACGTTCAAGAATATTCCATTAAAGTTGCCAAGTAAACGTTCCAGAATCTAAATATTCCATTGGAGTTGCCTGGAAAACGTTCCAGAATATTCAATTGGAGTTGCCGGGAAAACGTTCCAGAATATTCTATGAAAGTTGCCAGAGAAACGTTCCAGAATATTTCATTAAAGTTGCCAGATAAACGTTCCAGAATATTATATTAAAGTTGCCAGGTAAACGTTCCAGAATATTACATAAGAGTTGCCAGGTAAACGTTCCAGAATATTCCATTGAAGTTGCCAGGAAAGCGTTCCAGAATATTCTATTAAAGTTGCCAGGTAAACTTTCCAGAATATTCCATTAGAGTTGCCAGGTAAACGTTCCAGAATATTTTATTGGAGTTGCCTTGAAAACGTTCCAGAATATTCGATTGGCGTTGCCGGGAAAATTTTCCAGAATATTCTTCTAATGTTGCTTGGTAAACGTTCCATGATAGTCCATTAAAGTTGTCAGATAAACGTTCCAGAATATTCCATTGTAGTTGCCAGGAAAACGTTCTAGAATATTCATTTTAGTTGCTGGGAAAACGTTCCAGAATATTATATCAAAGTTGTCAGGTAAACGTTCCAGAATATTCCATTAAAGTTGCCACGTAAACTATCCAGTATATTCCATTACAGTTGCCAGGTAAATGTTCCAGAATATTCCATTAAAGTTCCCAGGTAAACTTTCCAGAATGTTCCATTAGAGTTCCCAGGTAAACTTTCCAGAATATTCCATTAGAGTTGCCAGGTAAACTTTCCAGAATGTTCCCAGTTGCCAGGTAAATGTTCCAGAATATTCCATTAAAGTTCCCAGGTAAACTTTCCAGAATGTTCCATTAGAGTTCCCAGGTAAACTTTCCAGAATATTCCATTAGAGTTGCCAGGTAAACTTTCCAGAATGTTCCATTAGAGTTGCCAGGTAAACGTTCCAGAAAATTTCATTAGCATCGCCAGCTTGCCAGGTTATTTTCTTGCTAGTAAACTTGTAGATATTTAGAGGAAGAAAACTAATGTTATTGCTTTTATAATAAAAAGTATTTATCAAAACAAAATTGTTTTTAGATCTAGTTCTATTTCTGGTCCATTTGAAAAGTTTGATGAAAGTGTAGTTCAGACAGACTGGAATAGATACAAACAGCATGTCAACTGTACATTCGAGGGTCCTGGACATGCTTCAGTTGTACAGGTAAATAATCAAATGGATAATACACACGAACTTTTTTGGTCCTGGAACGCTTTGATTTTACATGAAAGTATTTTAAAATACATTTTAAGAGCCAAGACATGCTTCCGTTGTATTACCTTTATGTTTAAGGTACAAAAAGGTCATGCAAGTTAAATCAACTTTAAATTGGACAATCCAATTTCTGGAAAATATCCACAAAACTTCCATTTCTTTTTTATACTTTGTGATATTTGATGTTTGATCTGCAATAATAAATTAAATTGTATTCCTGATTCTAAAATTTGGATGTATGTATTCTACACGTCGGGATGTTAACGTTTTAATTTTTTGAAAAAACGATCGTTTAGTTATAAAAACGACGACGAAAAATCGAAAACGAAGCTATCGTTTTTAAAAACGATAATTTTTTCAAAAAGTTCGTTTTTAAAAATGGTCGTTTTTAAAATGATCGTTTTGAAAACGATCGTTATTAAAAACGATCGTTTTTATAAAAATCGTCGTTTCGATAACGATCGTTAACTACGACCATTCGTTAACGTCGTTAACGACTAACCTTCGTTAACGATCGTGAACGAAGAGAGAAAACAGAACTGAAGGGCATCTGTACTTATCCTTGTGTAGTTTTTAAGAAAATATCAAGAAGTTTTAGCTCCCCCACAACTTTTTAACTTCATGTAAGAATAACAGTCAATAAAGTTGCATGTATTTTTTTTTCAAAAACGATCTTTTTTTCTAAAAACGACTGTTTTTATAAAATTCGTAGTTTTTTTAACGATCGTTAACGACAACCCTTCGTTAACGATGACCCATCGTTAACGATCATTAACATAATTGTCAATAAAATTTATTCTCTCAAAAACGATCGTTTTTCTAAAGTGATCGTTTAAAAAACAATCATATAAAAAATGGTCACAAATCGTTTTTAAAAAACAATCGTATTCTAAAACGATCGTTATTCGTTTTCTAAAAGTTCAAAACGATTGGGTAGTTTTTAAAACGATCGTTTTTTTCCAAAAACGAAACGATCGTTTTTGAAAACGATTAAAAAACGAAACAAAGAACGATCGTGATCTATTCAGGATGACAATGATGATTTTTGGTTGGTTTATCACGCCTGGTCCTACCAGCAGACTGGTCAGTCCTCATCTCCAGGTAGGGTTTGGCATCATTTTGAGGTCCGTGTTTTAAGTGACCGTTATTATAATTTTAAATTAACCTCCTTTAATTCATTATATTATTCATAATGTGGAAGATATTCTTATTTGTCTAGCGTGATTTAATTCGAGAAGATTTTCTCTATTGTTTCAGTAGCCAGAAATTCGTAAGTCACTTTTATAGAGAACAAATATTAAAAAGATCCAATTTTCAAGAAGAAATCATGGATTGCTCATTACTTTTTTATCAGACAAAGTTGTAAAGGGTGTTGTTGGGAATCTGACATGCCACAAGCTATTAATGGAGAGGGTTGCAATAAAGTATAACGATTTTTACATTTTATCTTTGACCAACCCGATTTTTCAAAACGATTTGTCCAAACGATTACACAAATTAATTAAGAAATCTTATTTGTCAATATCTTAGGTCATGATAGAACTGTTGTGTAATAAAATCAAACTAAGGAAGAGGAAATTTTGAAGCATGGATCAATTAAAATAACAGATAGGAAACTAGATGTCGTCTTTTCAAGCTTTAAGGGTTTTTTTTGTTCACAAGAACCCTGAGGCAGAAGCCCAAAGTAGTTACGCGTATTGTTGTGTAATAAAATCAAACTAATGAAGATGAAATGAAAGGGTGTTTTGTGCACAAGAACCCAAAGGCAGAAGCCCAAAGTAGTTACGCGGATTCGGCGTAGAACAGGCTCACCCTCTGTCTTGTAATTCTACGCAGCAAGCGCGTAACTCCTAAATCTTGAAAAGACGACATCTAGTTTCCTATCTGTTATTTTGATTTATCATGTTTTGAAACGTCTCAGATTCTTGTGGAACCTCTTAAAAGTCTAACAACCTTAAATGTTTACAAATTGACCCAAAAACAATGCCCGTCTCTACTCCAGGTAGAATGATGCTCCTGGATAAACTGATTTGGGATTCTCAGGATTGGCCGGCAGTTGTCTCACAGGGAATCATCTTTTAAAAAACAAGCAATTTTGTAATTATAGACTAGACAGGGTTACCCACAAAGGATGAGACTTTTAAAAAATGACAATACCAACGTTAAATTAAGTACAGTTTTGTGGATTGTGATTTTAAGGAAACAGAAACCTTAAATTTCGTACAATCGTCTATAAAGTCTTATATTTTGTGGCTAACCCTGTTTTTGCCAATTGTTTTTTACTTGATTGCTTAAAAGAGACTGTTGCTATAATTGAGGCGATCTTTTAGACATATTTACACGCCCGATTCATTACAGAGCCCTTTAAACCATTATCTGTGTAACCATGAAGAAGATTTTGTCATTTTTCAATCTTTAAGGCAGATCATAATTCTATCAATTTCCTTACTTGCGTCCGCAATTCAATAAGAAGTAGTTGGCAAAATTCAAAAAGTTTTTTTCATTAGAGTTTGAAACCGTTTAGATCACTGCAGATTAGAATATATGATGATTGTTTCAGGGAACACCGAGCGATACTGCACAGATAAAGCCCATAATAAAAAGAAAAAAATAATTTTATGGTTATCTTAATTATTATTTCTTCTGTATCTTTATACATAAAGTAGTAATCTCTGCTTGTTTGTTTGTATGTATGCTCATAAATCATGAACCCCTTGACCAATTTGCCTCAAATTTGATTGGAAAACTTGGTAGAACCATGGGAATTTTCTTAGCCTGGTTTAACAGTTTTAAGTTAAGAACGTCGACTTTTGTAGGAAAAAAAAACTTAGTTTCCAAACTAGTTTAGTATAATATCCTTGTCGGCTTCTATTGAAGAAACTAAACAGATTTATGAAAAAATTGAAGAAAAAAAAGGAAATTTAAACTCAGGAAATTGAAAATCCGAGGTTAATCTTTCTTTCTCAGAATTGACGAGCTAAACTATTTATTAGATTTGAATATCCTATTAGTGTAGAATTTTTTCAGGTGTTGTATAAATATAACTTTAAGAGAAGCAGTAGGAGGAGGAGGAGGACTAGGAGAAGGAGGGAGGAGTATCTAATTTCAACGATTAAATTCAGTTTAGTCAGGCCAACAATTTCGTGCAATCAAGATTGAATAAAATCTTTAAATTTTCATTAAAAATTTACAATTTTGTCCTTGTTTTGTATTTTGTAGCACAGGAAGAAGAACGAGATTAAAAGTTTTTTCCTCATAATTTGTAGTCGAACAAAGCGGAGGGGCGAATATTGGGAGAGGGGACAGATATGCATGCCATTTCTTCTAGAGTCTTAAGTCTTTCGTCTAAAGGGACTGTAATCGGAATTTCAAGGGACCCTCGATATACAATGGTACCCTTTAAACCTAGAATTTATTTGTTAAATACAGTGGAAGTAAAATTTTAACAATTTCCTTCTATTGTTCCTGCAAGAGAAATGCGCAAGTCCCCACAATCGAAAGTAATGATCATTTAAATGCTTTAAATCTCGTTCATTCTTATTCAGGCAAAGCTTTTACCGTTGTGAATAACTCAAAATAACGATCACAATCCCTTTAACATATACTAAAGTTGGTAAATAAATGATTTCTATAGAAACAATACATATACATTATACATTATATAGGTGAAGAATCTTTTCAGTTCACAATAAAAGAGTTATTTATTGTATATTTAGACATGAAATGTAATAAATATATGTATAATATAAAATATAAAAATTAACAATAATAATTATGAAATATGAAAAATAAAGTGTAAGAGAAGTGATGCCCAAACTGAATTTTTTGTTTCTCTTTCACCCAGAAAGTGCAGTACACTATACTTTGTAAACAAAGATATTGTAAATATTTCTAAATGATCAGAGAAGAGGAAAATCTATACTTATACAAGTATATTAAAGGGACTGTATGCGTAAAAACTGACCTTCCATTTAAAGAGGGGCATCCCCGTTTCATAACGGTACCCTAAAAAAATGGCAGATTATAAATAATCGTATTCGAATTTTTGAAAATTGCGTTAGATATTCTCGATTTTCCTGGAATAAATTCGCGTTCAGTTCCTTAGCTCAGTATGCTTTTTATACAACATTTTGACTAAGTTCTCTGTCCTTGATGATCAGTCAAAGATTTGATGGGTACAGTTGTGGATCAGTGATGCCCCTCTTTAAGTAGTAGGTCACTTGAAATTACGCTTACAGTCCCTTTACTGTTTTCTAACATGAAAATCTCTATACAAGTATATTAATGTTTTCTAACATGAAAAGAAGATTTGGTTAGTTTTCTGTATATTTTAAACAATCTGTTTGCATATAGATATAACATATAGGTATAACATCCGTGTATCATAATACCTTACAATGTAAAATGTTGAATGAATGAGGAATATAAGAAAGGCTTAAAGAAAGTATTTTAAAACCTCCTAAAGCCCCATCCCCCCCCCCACCGGACACGTGTGTGGTGTGGGCCCTGTATATGCCGGAAGTGTAGAAGAAAGCCGTCAAAGGCCCCGCCCGGCTTTCTCCGGTTCAAGTATATCCAACAAATAAATTCAATGGTTTCCCTTAACCCTAAGGGGGGAGTCAATTCATTAAAGAGTTGAAATTACTTAATATCTTTACAAACAAATCCTACGATAAGTTAAAAAATTAAATCAGATTACAAATCAACCAAATCAGACTTCTGATGGTTTAAACCCCAGCATTACAAACATCAGACAAAATCATTGTAAGATATAAAAAAAAGGATGCAATAAAAATGAATAATTTTGATATAAATGTTTATTAATAAAGTATCTGTGTTGATATATATATATATAAAAAAATGGTTGTATTATGATCATAAGACTGGTCTAGTATAGAAGGAGGCTGTGGAGGATCCCTGGTTCGGCCCAACTGAAGGCAGATTCTCAATACAGTTCTAGCATGCCTCCTTACACTTCTATATATTAATATTTACACTTGGCTTAAATACAACCCCGCCTTAAACCCTTCAATATAGAGTATAGGCTCCAAAAACATCCTGTAGTGTTGTTTCAAACAGTGGACAGTGAACCCCAAGTGATGGTTTGAGGTTAAATCAGTGACTATGTCTAAAGAAGAGGGAGGTGGGGGTGGAGGTGAGACCCCCCAGGCCCAATATGTTGGCCCATACAGGCTGGAGAAAACGCTTGGAAAAGGACAAACAGGTCAAATAAATAACGTAAAGGGTGTACCAAAAATTGTTCAGAAATAAAATAGAATTTAGAAAAAAATACTAAGAAATATCACTTTTTGAGACACCGAGTTATGATGTATACGTTAGATTAGATAACAATTATTGCAGCTCGACCAAAATATGTTTTTAATCCTCAATTTTTCACAATAAAGTAATAGAATTAAGAGAAAAGTATACGGACTTAAGATATGTATTTATAGACAAACCTAGTTTTTACTAAATAAACGAATACGATATAAAAAAGATAAGGTTTCAATGTACACACCATGAGACTACAAGCTGGTAGTGAAAGCAAACAAATTTACGATGGAGAATGTAGATGAAAACAAACTGCTCTCATTTTTATACAGGGAGGACCATTAAACATGGGAATCAAGGAGCACTTCAATTATCGATTGATTTTTTAAACAAAGTGTTCCAATAAACGTAAGAATTAAGTACAAACTGTAATTGAACAAGTTTTAACAAACTAATAATTAAGCAAGTTGTAACAAACTAATGTTTTAACGATCTGAAACAAACTAATGTTTAAAAAAGTTGTATCAAACAAATGTTTATAGAATTTTTAACAAACTTATGGTTAAACATGTTGTTATAAACTATTGTTTAAACAAGTTGGAACAAACTATTGTTGGAGGATGTTGTAAAAACTATAATTTTAAAACCCTCATACTCAAAATTCATTTAAAAGATGTGATTTACCGTTTTAACCTAGAATTAAAAAAGGATTAAATGAGATTTAGCTGATTTTGTTTTATATCAACGTTAAGCAAAAAGATATTTACAAATTTAAGTTCTGGTGTAAAACAGAGTAGTTACATTTTAGAATACAGACGCCCTTGAATTAACATATTTTAAGAGTTTGATGGGAGTTTTTCAAATTAAGAAAAAACAGCTGATTTGGCTGAATTGAAATTTAGAATTGAAAAATTAAATTTTTCAACACTAACCTTTCTTCGACTAATATATAGCTAGTTTTAAAATTTTAACAAAAACCAATTTTCAGCCAGGCAGTCAAAGATTTGATATGCATTTAAAAAAATGTGGGATTCTTTTGACTTTTTATTGATTAATTCTTAAAAGTTTATCAGTTTATCAGATTATGACTAAAAAACGAGGATATCATTCTCATTGCTGCTCAAATATAGTTTAGAGGCTATCGTCCTGAATCAGACTCTTAAATGTTGTCACTTTAAATAAAGTTAACAACTCCTTTAATAACAAGCATTTACGTTTAAATAGTTGGACAACTTTAAGCAAAGTTTTTCTAAAAGAAGAAATCTCGGGAACATATCTTCCAAGTTTTGAATAAATGGCTATTTTTTTCATTTCTATCTGATGTTTCTGTAGAGAAATATTTAACTACAACAACCTTTGCACTAACTTTAAGGGCATCACAATCAAGAGTCTTATGATTAGATGAGATCAGGTTTTTCAAGCTTTTGCACCTTTTTTACATATAGCGTTATTTTTTACGATATACTTCATGCAAAGTCAATCATATGCATTAGGTGATAAAACTAACTTATGGAGAAAACAATTTGAGAATATTTAAACTAAGGGAAATGAAGAACATGAAAGGGATGGGTGCGTAAAGGAAGAGGAGGGAGGGATAAGACAGTATAAGAGGAGGGTTTAGGAGGATAAAGAGGAATCGGGGGAAGAGGGTTGAGAATATTTAAACTAAGGGAAATGAAGAACATGAAAGGGTGCGTAAAGGACCGGAAGAGGATAAGACAGTATAAGAGAAGGGTTTAGGAGGATAAAGAGGAATCGGGGGAGGAGGGTTGGAAATCTATTTAAACTAAGGGAAATGAAGAACATGAAAGTGATGGGTGCGTTAAGGAAGAGGAGGGAGGGATAAGACAGTATAAGAGGAGGGTTTAGGAGGGTAAAGAGGAATCTATTTAAACTAAGGGAAATGAAGAACATGAAAGGGATGGGTGCGTAAAGGAAGAGGAGGGAGGGATAAGACAGTATAGGAGGATAAAGAGGAACCGGGGGAAGAGGGTTGGACATCTATTTGATACTATATTTATTAATATTTCATCTAAAAATTGATTTTCTTGTGACGTCACTTTCCTTTCTCGTCAACTGTCACCTTTGTGTTTTAGAGATTAGAAGTTTTAGTTCAATCTGAACATAAGGAATAGGTCGAAATTATACAAAATTACTGATACGATTTTGTGATCTCATATCTCTAGTTGTGATTTTACGTCCAAGTTGAGAAACGCCAATTTATTTGGGTAAAAATGCAAAACATTATTGTTCTTCTCTTAAAAATGGAGTTATTTAGCGTAAATTGTGTAAGGCAGAGCTGTATTTATCTAAAGTGAAATATTCGTTCAAGAAAGTCTCGCAGTAAAATGTTTGACTCCCTTTTTTGTTGTGCAGACGAACAGATTTTAAGCATTTTAAAGTAAACATTTGAAATTAATTCTTAGAATTTTTAGAAGATTAAAATTTGATAAAAATTTGAGCTAAAATAAATATAATAATCAATAACATAATGCAATAATAGCATTAAATTATCTACACTATACAGGGTCTTTTTATAAAGTGTTTTTATTCATTTCGTTAAGAGATGGATACAAATCCACTAAAAAAAGAGAAAATCGTACTTCTTAAAAACTATACATTTCCGTAACTATTTAGAAATAATGGATAATCCTACAAAAAAAACGTCAGAACAGTCTTCTCTAAAAGCGAAATACAGGAATTTGTAAATTTAAGAAAATGTTATTCCTATAAAGGCCAACCAATTCACATAATAATTTTTAAACCATGCTCTACAGACCATTCCCGTAGTTTTACCGATTTCCCCAATACAAATTTGAGGCTAATCGCGCGTTCTAAGGGTTTATGAGTTAGGATCGGAAATCCAAACAAATAGACAGCCATGACAAACAGAATATTTTTGGATTTCCTCTTAACCTTTTTGGGTTGGAGATTTTTTTTGAGTGGATTATTATCGATCATGAAAAAATACAATTTATAAAAAAACACCCTGTACACTGTACAACTTGTTTTCATTCTCTTTTATTTATTTATTATTTATTTTGCAAAAATTGTCATTTACGTCAATGTACCTAGATAATTTTACTGCGTGTCATTTTGTTACGTAATTTTCGAAACTTCTTCTCTTGAAAGATTTCATTTACGTCAACTCATTTCACATTATTTTCTAGCACGTCATTTTCTTAAATTTTGCTTTTAATTACATCGTTCAATTCTTTTGTGTAATTTAATTAATTTTTTGACAGTAAAAGATAATACAAAAAAAATACAAATTTAGTGATTAAAAATAATTATTTTAAAAATGGCGTCTAAATTATAATATAACTTATTTCATCAAAACAAAAATTTCGGATGAAATTAAAGATTAGGAAAAAGTAACTTAAATTTGTTGAAAAACTAAAGTACTTAAAATAATAATAGATAAGCTTTGAATTTTCCCCTCAATAATAGACTATTTTTATGAGATATATATAACAAAAGTTTTTATTAAATATTTAAAAATAATAATTTTTTCATAAGGGTCTATCTACTCACAACAATCTCACAGTTTGGAGATTATTCATTTGCAGTACTGTACCGTTATAACCGTAAATAGTCTGTATTATATGCATACTGTACATTGCACAACTTACCCTAGCTTCCTTAATGTCGGTCCGATACTTAAACCGAACCAGAGCTTACAATGTACTTTCCAGTAGATATTGTTGTTCAGAGAAACATAAGTGTTTTTTACAAGTCATGCAATATTGACTTATAGAAGAAAAAACCAATATTTCTTAATATTTACCGTGCATTTAACATGTCTACAACAATAAAATTTTGAAAATAAAAACTATACGGAATTTTCTGTATAAAAAGGTATTTCCAAAGTGTGCAAGCGCTCACGCAAATTTTTTTTATAAGCTGTCTAGGGCTACACAAAAAGTATAAATAAGTATAAGATGATTTATTTTCAGAGTGGTCTGGATCTCTATTAATTAAAGTATATTGCACATCATATTGCATGTTTTCAATCATAGCTCCTCTTTCTTTAGAGTTATTAAGTATAAGAAAAATGTTTAGAATTTCTTATTTGTAACCACATAAGTTTGGTTCTCCCATAGAGGTATTTCTTCTATATAGTTCGCAGTGATATAATTTAGAAACGAATATCAAAAGTTATTGATGGTGTTATAGAGGACGTGAGTCAGACTCTAATAAAACGCATAAATAACTTCCAGTATATATATATTTCTTATAACTTATTACTAGAGGGTTCAGAACTAGAGTCAATATCGATATCGCACGTGTAGACTGTAGAGATGATATCAGTACTAATGCCCCGTATCCGTTCTATCTCATTCTGTTGAATCTTGTGGAACTAGTTTAACGCGGCCAGGCATCGTCTTCCACAGTGTATTTATTTTTATTTTTTATCTACAATGATCAACATTGGTCATTATCGTGCTTGTCTTTACTCTTAAAATCCAAAGTTTTCTACATTAATATCAGTTTTCGATTAAAATTTCGCAGACCGTCTCTTTATTGTTTAGTTTCCTACATAAATGTTTACCAATTAAGTATAAAAGCAAGAATTTAAAACAAATGTAAGTATGGGGCTAGTTGGGTTTTAAATGTACAATAAACTTGGTTCAAAGCAAATAGTTAGTTGTGTACTAGGAGTATAGAAAAATGTTTTGTTGTCTAAACTTTGTTTTTCATTTTACAAAAATGGAATAAGAATTACTATATACCACTTCGAGGCCTCGTAACTATAGTTTTTATCTTACATACACACCCATAATTATTCGGGAAAGGAGCTGTTGAATGCACCACAAATAAAAAGTAATATGTTTTTCGTAATCCTAAATGCGATTTTTACTTATATTTAAGTACAGTACATACTTTATAACAACTTTGTTTTATTTCTCATGATTTACAATTTTATATACATATATATATATACTCTAAGGA